TTTTGATATTTTAAGAATTTTTATCTGTCTCAAATACATATTTTACATCCGTTAGATGGCTATAGTACATTTGCCGAGTTTACTATTTGGGATATGGCTACGATAGTTGGGGGTATGGGATTCAACTTGGGAGCAGATCGAACGAAATACCTTGATTGGCACCAAAGAAAAAAGAGGTATTAATATGATAGATATAAAAATGTTGTTGTTGCCCAGAAAAAGATATACACTGGAACACTCTTGAATGAGGAAGTTAACTCAGTGTGGAAATTGATTGAGATGAAAGTGCTTGACCAATACTGTTTTCGAGCAATGCTTGAAGAAAAATTGAGCTCAAATTCATATGTTGTAGAGTATTTACTTTTGACATCCATACGAAATGTATTTCTGTAAAATTGCGCCTTTTGATACGAAAATGTCAAATTTTGATCAACCTATATGGTGCAACAAAAGTATTTCTTATTCCAGAAAACAATTTTTTACCAAGCCTTGGTATGGTCATAGTATAAAAGCAGTAAGACACTTAACAAATGTGGGTAATTTGTTTATTTATAGAAAGTTGACATAAGAATATGCCATGCAATATAGTGATGAAGAGTATGTAAATTATTATCGCCTCACTGGACTTTTACCTGATGATTGATTGGTTATGCAATATTGGAAACTGTATTGATTTTAGTGCATTAAGTGACCCTGAAGAGAATGTATCTCATTTTATTTCTGAAACATTCGAATCAGGAAAAGTAAATAAAAGTATCTTTGTAAAGTTGAACCTGATCAAATTTATATCCCATGATAAATCAAAAAAAATGAGTAGATCTGATTTTTTTAAAGAGTGATTTTAATTAGAATAAATTGTATATGGATATCTTTCATTGTACTAAATAGCAATCTTATTATGTGAATATGTTCCATGGTGCCATTGCACTAAACGATTGATTGTATAAATTTAAACTTGTTTCATCAGAGTTATGTGATTTCTGTCATTCTAATGTTGAAACTACTAGTCACTTTTTCTACGATGGTATAGTTGTTCAACAGTTTTGAGAATTTCTGAACAGGTGGATATATTCAAAAACAGAATTAATTTAAACTTTTCCAAAAGAGATTGCATGTTGGGATATGTTTGAAATTTTTATAACAAATTGTGTAATTGTATACTTCTTGCTGCCCGGTTTTATCTATATCGTTGAAGATACAGAAAAAGAAACTACTGTTCAATGTCTTTACCAGTACCTCATATCTGTATGAAGTGAAGAAAATTGAACGGTTCAATGCATATAAAAATGGCAAAATAATAAAACATGACCAACAATTGAAAGTTTTAAGATATATAAATGATATCATAAATGATGGTATTTATATGATTATACATGTATAACTTCTGTGATTAATGGTTAATAATGATGTAACTGTACCGATCAACTGTGTTTGATATAATAATAGGAAATATTGTCACTATACATTGCATACCAAAATGGAAAATTTTAAGATGTAACCACAATAATTGATTATCTTATTTGATGAATTATGATTGTGTATTTATTGATAAGAGTGATTAACAATGTTGTAGATGTACCGATCAACTGTGTTTTATATATTGATAAATGAATATATAAAAAAAGAGTTACGATCCTCGGCAAAGTCATTAGATCTCCAAAAAAACAGTTTTTGAGTTAACATATCAGCAGAGTATTCACCTCAAACGTTTAATTTCTCATAATCGTCACAAAAGTCCCTAGAAAGCCCGTTGTCTTGTAAAATCCTTCAAATTAGGGTCAACAATGATAAATATTCAACAAAATAATGGGAAACCATCGATGAATTTACTCTATGATCCGTATTTTTCTCGATACCTTTGCCGCTTTCACTCATCTTATGAAATATTAATCACTCATTTAGGATTCACGCCACTGTTTTCACTTGAAAGTGACAGATCATTTTCCAAAAAAGGAAATTGCTATTTTTGTAATTATGATAATTTGTCAAATGTAAAAATGCAATAAATTTACTGTTATTTCCCAGCACAAATCATATTATTCACCAAATGCCCGCAAAACCGTATTGTAAAGCAAAAAGGCTTTTTGAACAAACAATCAATAAAATGTTCTATTTTTGGCATGGAGATGAAGTTTGTAGCTTTGAAAAGCGAGTTTTTTATTAGATTGTAAAGGTGATCTATGTAAATAAAAATGCAACAGTAAGTAAACTCCTGCTTACAATCAGGACCGGGTCTTGGGGAGGGCCGTAGGGGAAGCCGACCCACGCAGAACGCTGTAGGGGTCAGCATATCCAAGCCGTAAAGGTCGCGTTATCCCTCATATTTTTCACGATTTAGGGCTGTTGTATCTTTCATCAGCATTGAACATTTCTGTTACTAAACTTTTAAATCATTCATTCTCTGTATAACAACATCCATAATTTGTTTATCCCCCGAAGTATTTTTGAATTAGGATATAGGGGCATCCTTATCAGAAACTTGACCTACACAGCAGAAAAGTTTGGCTCGTACAAGCTACTAATACATAAGGTATTTACAACTAAAAAAATTTAATATCGATCATAAAAAAGAAAAAAGGCTAAAATCGATAAATTACAAACCTTCATTACATAATAAAAATTCCGTCATCCGACCGAATATCTAGTCCTCTAATGCGTCACTCCCCCACAAAAACTGCCATTTCCTTGGTGAAATCACTTATTTCAAGGAGTTAATCATTTAGCAATGATAAGTGAGTAGGACACAAGCATCGACCTGAGGTACAAGTAACCATAAAATAGTGAAAAATGGTTCTGGTTGGTACTAATTGCAACGTTGTAAGATTTTGTAAATCTTGGTACAACGCTTAAAAAATGTCACAGAAGTGATTCAATTCAATCTTCATACGGACCCACCGCGCAAAAGCATATAAGACAAAGAAGTAGTTAGTTAGTCTTGTAGAAACCCAGTCGATAGCATCTATATATATTTCGTGCCTGAGTTTAGTTAGAAAAAACAACAAAATACAACTGCAAAAGTCAAAATCGAAAGTTGAAGTTACAAATTCAGAATTATGTTTAATCGCTTAATTAAAAATGATTTCCTTGCCCAATGCAAAATCCTAACACCGATTGTCCATATTTGCCAGGAGTGTTGCGTAGGACGTAATTCTAGACGTTCGCAGGCGCGTCGAAGCAAAACCAAGACGTAGGTGCTTAAAATGCGGAACCTGAGACAGCGTATATTCTTTGATGACTCGTGGTTTTCCTCGGTTCTTTCACATGTTTAACCAACCTAGCAGAGATTATATACAACATCTAAATAAAAGTAGATATTTCTTCAACTATATATTTGACATGGTTTATCTCATAGTCGTTAGCCATGATTCATCTTCGTGCCATGTTTGGTAAAACCTTAAGTAAATCAGTTATTAGGAACGATGATTGTTTGTAAAATGCTTGCTATTTTACAATGTGTTCAACAGTGTAAATCCAATTTCAAGAGCTTACACTAATCGATCGATATACGTCATACCTATTTAAAAATAAAAAACTCTAAAAATCAAATATGCATACATAGAAAAGAGAAGAGACTCACGAGATTTCTTCTAAAAATTATATTCACGGTGCATTATTATCCATTTATGCAGGCAAATGCTATCGATTTTTGCAAAATAATTCAGTTTTTGGAAACAAGATAAACCCCTTTAGATATAAAGCATGTAGCGTTCATACTTTGTATCGTAATGGGATTTAAACGCTACGCAAGAACTTTGGGAGGACGTAATAGGGGTTTATTTTACCTACGACGCAAATCTTCAACCAGGAAGGCACAATCATTCAAAGGCTAGAATATTCTCTACCTAATTAGCATCACAGATTATCAGACTACATAAACTATCAGACAGAACACGGAAACGAAACTCTTTATTGCAAATAGTATTTATAGAATAACAAAAAATGTATGACTTCCACCAAATATACATTTAAAAATAATTCTCGGTGAAAATATACCAACAGGAATTTGATGAATGCCGTTTTATATAACACACTGTACAATATAAAAATAGAGCACATAATGTAAAAAATAATTCTTTACATAACAAATGAATTTAAAATCATGCTCCTTCTTTAAAATTAAATTCCAATCAAGCACTCACTTTATCTGAAGTTACAAAACTGTGTAAGTTTATGCCAATTGCTATGCAACCCATGCTTTTTACTCGATTGAGCAAATTTTGTATTATTATTTTAAACTAGTTTCATCTAAATTAATCTGAGACCGTTTTTTGCAAAAATATAAGTCACATTAAACGAGAAGCGTCACGAATAGATCGAAATTTTAGACATTTTTCTTAATTAGCATTTTGTCGAATCAAATCCCAAAAGGTTTCCACGTCCAGTATAAGAGCAGGATCAATGAAATAAGGCTGCAGAGGTTGAAATCCTGGTCCTGGCGCAATTGTGTGTGAATGATAGGTAGAGGTAGAAGGTTTTTTTTATTAATTACAAGATTAGGAATTTCTCACAAATATTTGGATGTTTATTCCGCCTGATACTAGAAATTCCTGTCGGTCAACAAAATTTTTTATTTTATTTCCCGATCCCTCTTTAAGAATTTATTTCAGTTTGATATCATCGTAATAAAACGATACTCGAAATTTAATAAACAAAACTTAAATAAATAAACGTTTTCGAGTTGTTACCACCTTGTTTACAAAGAAATGGGCTTATAACTTGTCGTCAAATAACTACACCGTAATGGAAGTCTGCGCTCATCGTCGATGCATCTCCGAGAAAAAGCATGCAAAGAAGACATTTTGTAGAATTTTAGCAGTAGTTCCGTGTCAATGTCGTTTGACTTTGCGCTAATTAAATGATTTCAGAAAATTTCTAAAGCGGTAATGTTAATTTTATACTAATGCCTTAATTTCTTAAATTGATCATTTTATTAATATTAATAATTTTAATAATATTCTGATTTTTGACAAAATAAGTGTGTCTATTAATAATGAATCGACATGGACAAGAATGTACGAGATCGAAAAATATTTTGCAGAGGAAAATTCAAGACTCTTATATTTACTATTCTGATACTTTCTGGTGAGTATATTATTTTGAGAATTGCAGTGCACCAAAGCAGGTAGGAACGGTAAAAATACCGATCAGCGCTGTTCACGAATACCAGTACAAATTGACTAAAATTTGGCAGTAAATTAATGAAGGAAGCTACAAAAGCTGTATAGTCTGCATGTGTCAAATGTTAACTTCATTATAAAATTAAAAATTTATTAATCATAGAATATGGGAATATTAGAACAATAAAAATTGATGCAGAGGTTCAATTCTAGTAGTAAGAGTAAATACTTTGATTGGGATTCATCAACCTAGCAAATATTTTCTTGTTAGTCAGATGAAGAAATATATTACCTCTGAGAAAAACATATTCAATGCGAAATAAAATTGAAATATAATTGTTTCTTTATGCTTTGGCCGATCCAGGATTATAAAAAAAACACTTTCCAAATAACCTACTGAAACTTTAGTAAAAACGATATTTGAAAAGTCTTGTTGTGAAAAACCTCAGATCCAAAATTTCAAACCAGAATGGAGGTTAACTCAATAACTCAATCCAGTATCACTTGAAGAATTATGAAAACAAATTACCCATAACTAAGTGCATCATATAATAAAATTTCCATATACTTTGTGACAAAAATTAATATACTTTCAAAGATTTAGGGCTACATCTTTTGCCACTCTAAATAATCACTATTTTTTACTTATAAGACCATGGTTGTCCTAAATGCCTATTAAAATTGTTCTAGTGTAACGACTTTTTGTTTTACAAAAAGACGAACCTACATCAATATTTCATGCTTATTGTCTCCCTATATTTAATTTCAATTACGATAAAAATATTTCAAACAGGATCTATTAGAATCAGTGCAAAGTCAAGATCAAGTGGAGGAAAATCAATCGCAAAAAGTTCACTCCCCGGACTTGGGAAACTGCAAAGCAACAATTTAGGAACATCCGACAAAAACAAGAACCCAGGTATGAATAATTGAAGGAATCAAATTTAGACAACACAGTAAATTCTAGCAATACTCGTTTTTGAAATTGGTATAAGTGGTGTTTTACTTACATTACCACCCTGACCTAATTGCTAAGCGATGAGAAGATTTTGGATAAACGGATCTTTGCAGTTTGCATTTCGTCGGAGCTTAAAAGAATGAGTTGCGGTAGGCGCCATAAACCTTTCTTGAATGTAATTTTTTTAATGTAACTATGACATAGTTACATCAAAGCGATGTTATATTATTTTGTACTACGAATAATACTTCTATGTATAGATTTCTATTTTTTTTTGGTATTTGACAGCTCTCGTAATTGGATGCGCTGGATTTGAAATAAAATCTTCACAAGCAGCAATTAGATGTCGGTGCCCGTAAAAAACATGCAGCGTTTTGTATATCACAAACAAATTATCTTGTGATCATTTTTGAGTTACATGACCTCCAACTATTTTGTGCATAATAATAAATATATGAAATAGATTAGTCGGAGCGATACATATCACGTAATACCGCTTGGAAAGTTAATATACCAATTTTTTCAACAGCTTCTTTATTCTTTATTTATTCTTTTGATAAACACAGATACTGTCCACGAATTATCTGGGACTAATACAGCTCTTTATGCTTTGAAACGCTTTTTAATGACGGGGTATGACAAAGGAATGAGGCCTGTACGTAATGATACTGACATTCTCGAGGTTGAAGTTGACGTTATATATCGACAAGTTTTGGACATGGACGAAAAAAATCAGATTCTGAGCAGCCTAGTCTGGTACAGACAGGTTCGTTTTTAATGTATTCATTCAAAAGCTCTCCGTACACAAAAACTTGTTTTCAAATAGCAACCAGACTAACGTTCTGTCATCCGTGAGATGATAACACGCCAATCACTGCAAATCAATGTTTTAGATACCTCACATATACCACTGAGTTGATATCAAATCCAGCGAATATAACTAAAAGCATTGCATTAGTCTAAATTACTTTTGAGTAAATGGGAAGTGTTATTAAATTTGAGCTTCATGTAACCTCTGTTATCAGTGTCTACATCGGTAGTAAGAGAAGCGTATAAAATGTGTTAGTTTTATTTTTCAAATGAAATTTACATAATATTCAACAATTACAACGCATCCTTTCAGCATTGGCAAGACATTTATCTTCGTTGGGAACCAGAACATCACCAAGGACTTGAAGAATTATGGCTGCCAGCTGAATCGGTTTGGAGACCAGATATCGTCCTCCAAGAAGAGTTTGTTATAATTTATTTCCTACTATTAGTGGTGTGATGTTGATATATTTGGTTGCATGAATCAAAAATGAAGCTGGACCTAAAATCCGTTATGTACGGATGAATCTATTAATTTTATCTGTAAACTCTTCTAATGTGATATCAATCTTTTTGGCGCGTTTCAGCGATAATGCTGTAGTTCGCCAAACGCTGAACCCCCATTTTAATGACAAATACAATTAATATGATAACATCGTAACACCAGATAATTTTGTGCAATTTCTTACAGCGAAAAATTTTTTGTGGCAAATACCGATGCTTGTCGGCAAAGTAATCTATTTCATGCCATAGAATTGCTATTTTCTATATTTTGACATTTGAACGTCATAAAATATCGATTTAATTGTCCCATGGGTATCAAGTCAAAAATTGGCGCGAGAATTATTCGAAAGTTCATCATTAACGGCAATACATCAAAGATAAAACATGAAGATATTGTCAAAACTGAAACGCAATTTATCGTTGGCAAATTGCTTAATCCGAATTTGATTGAAACCAAAGTTATGCAAGTATGAAAAATTTAATGCAGTAAAAATAACTTTTGGCATATACCACGATTCTAACATTGTGCTCAAATATTCCAATCAAGTTTGAAATTGAACACAAATTGATTTGTAAATTAAATTGAATCGCTGATTCACATTTTTTAAGTCACATCCAATGCGACTTCATGTCAATCTATAAAAGTTCAATGTTGAGAGGTGGTAACATTCAAATGAATGTTTATACGGATTTGGAAACACAACCAAGAACTGAAAATAACACGCAAAACTAATTGTCTGAGCCAAAGAAGTGTCTGAGCGGCGACATAAATTTCAATTGCTATGTCATTGATAACTTATTGTTGATTTGTAATTGCCGAAAAGCTGAGTTAAACTATTCTAAAGTCAGCTACCGGTACCTTTTAAATATCAAGTAGTTAATTAAGCGTCAACTCCAGCAAAATATAAATAAACAAATTCTCAATGTACAAGCATGAGAATAATTGTAACTGGAGTCAAAGTTCGTAGAACATTCACTAGTTTGATGCTATATGGTCATTCAATGGCTCTTATAAAATAGATAGATATAACAAATATGACATAACAATTTTAAATTTTTGTGCAAATGATAAAAGGGAACAAAATTTGGCAATTTTTTTGAAAAGCGTAATTCCATTTTAAGCTATAAAATTTATAGTATAGTAGAATAATTTGATTGTAATCTATTAAAGTAAAACTTTAAAGTATTTCTTTTTCAGAAAATCAATAGGATTGTCGTTAAGCAAACTATCGTCCACATTTTATCGATCGCTGTGTTAATAATAGAAAAATCTAGTTTAACTGATGACACTACCTGAACCTTTATTTGATTTTCACAAAAAAATTCGAATTTGAATTTAGTAATTTCAATATATAACGCTGCGCTGCTGAATGTTGGACCTATGTATGGGGTTGCTCAATTGTTTTTGTTCATCTTAGGCTGTTCCATTTATTTTTATTTTTTTTTCTAGGTCCTATGGGACTCAATAATTCACTAAATTTTGCTGTCTCGTTTTTATTGGAGGGGAAGACTTTTTTATTCCACCCCATTGAACGCCTCCGTCACGCTTGTCCGTGAATAAAAATATTACAGCTAACTCGGAGCTGAAAGCCCGTACCGACACCGATGCGCGACCATGTCCGTATATTTGAGCTTCACTCTCTTGTATTTTATCAATTATTACCGTATATGAACAAAGCGTTATAACTTATATATAACGAATAGTCTAGCGTTTCATACCGGGTCAAGGCTGGCCAAAATGAAAACGTTTGATTCCAGAAAGAATCGGTAGTTTTAGATCGGATATTCGAATCTTTTAATTAAATTTAGCAAAATTGAGTTTTCAGGGAAGCTCACATTCCATCGATTTTAATACAGAATTTTCAGAAATTAAAAAAAAATCCAACGGAAGGGGTTTATTATCAGTCGCTGACTCCTACCAGGTTTGTATTAAGAGAAAGAAGCTAAATTTATACAAAATTCTTTTTCGACCTATTTATTAAATAACGTCACTTTTCCGGCCACGGGCGAGTTTCTTCGGGTTCTCGGAAATAACTACACGTTATATTAATCTATTTTTCTTTCAGAACAGGAACAAAAGATTATTCCCCAAGACTACCTTTCGTGAAAGTCAATCACGACGGCCATGTCGAGTACCACGAACCTACGTCTTTCACAACAACTTGTTCAATGAATACAATGCATTTCCCATTCGACGTGCAGCATTGTACACTGACATTCAGGTATATTACCATAGAGAAGTCATGGTTAAAGTAATAGCAATTTTCAAGAGTACAGTACCATATTTATTTGGCACGAGCCATATATATGGATCGTTTTGCTTAATTTCTGTTCTCGTTAGGATGACAAGATCGCCTCTCTCCAAAACTAAGGGACCAATCTTTCCAAATTTCAATACTTATTTTGCTATTAATACTTTTACTGTATATCTATTAATTCGCTGTAATAATACTGAATCTTCTTAGAGTTGAGATCGATTTTAAAAAATTCACAAAATAAGACAAATGTGTATTATTTATATGTGATTTTTGGTTACTTTAAAAGCGTGTGAGTATTACTGTTATCTTTCAGTTTTGGCAATCGGTCAATTTATGGAAAGGTCGAACTAGTGTAGTAAATTTAAGCTTGACAAGGCTTTATATTTATTTATAGCCTGTATTAACCCCATTTACAAATTGAACCGCAATTTGAATATTTTTTAAATACCAAACGATAATGTCATATTTCCATTACCGCCTTGTTGTCACATTTCAACACTACTTTAAAAATATGTTAGTCGAGTGTCAAATTAACAGCGTTAATATCATTTATAAACGAAATCTAGATTTGTTTATAGGCTGCAATAATCTTATTAACAAATTAAATCGCAATTTGAATATTTTTTATTAAATACAAGCAGCAAATACATCCGAGTGATTAAATGAGGTAATTTTAATTTTCTCAGCAAAATTAATCGGAAAGTAACGCTTTTTCTTATTTTTTTGAATTCATTGTGAGGCTTCGTAAATATTAGTCGAACTTTTCACGGGCTCCACAACACTAAAAGTTTGAGAACCCTTGACCTAATCTTAATATGTCAAACCTAAAGATGTGTAAAATGCCTGAAGTTTGAATATTACGTTACTTATATTTAATCAGTTCATGGACTCATCCTGGATCCAAGATATCTCTCATGCCCGAGAGGAAAACTGAGCAGATGGTGAATGATATTCAAGTATTTGTCAATACCGGAGAATGGAAACTACAACACGTTGGAGTCAAAATACAGGTGGGTGATAAAAATAGCTTATGTGGCAAATCTCACTTATGTAAATTACAAATATTTGACTTTTTTTTTTGTTATAATAAAGATGGGTATGATTGACGCATGCGCTTAATGAGATGGAAGATCGGAAGTGTATCGTGTATACCCTATAGAACTTATCCTCCGGAAAAAATAAACATTTCAATCAAAAAGTATGATGAGTAACACAGAATGGAATTGAATTTGTTGTAATGTGTTTCGAAAATAGTTGTAAAATTATGCATATTTAAAATTTGCAATAATATTTTTCTCTTATTCTCATGTATTAGAATTTGGGAACTAAAATTCGTCTGCATTTGGCAAACTTTATACATTTTGGGTGATGATTCGATAATATTTTGATGAATTAATAAATCATCGTCAACGATATATACGTGAAATTGTTCATTCAAATTCCTTTCACTTTTTTAAAACCAAAATAATGGCGGCCGCAGATCATATTCTGGTAATACCATGAGACATATGAGAGGATAAAAAATGGCGAAATTCTAAACGATAGAATAATGTGTTTTGGGTGTTTGAGACAGCTTCATCAAATTGATTCTGATTATAATTCCATCAGAAATCGTTTTGGAAAAAATTGAGACCGCTTTTTTAGCATCTAGAAAGTAGGAAACATTTACTTCAATGTCTAAGAAAATACTCCATGTATTCGTTATTTTATTTCGATTCGGGTCGATAATTGCTATCAAATTTATGCATTTGACTACAATATAAGGCAAGGCATTATGTAACTCCTGATTCATAGTCCCGATCATATAATATTAATCTAACGCAAAAAAAATATATAAAGATAATTTTGAAGAATGGATTAATCAATTTTTATCGCAAACTTCCCACAACATGTTTAGAAACTTGAAGCAAAATATTTAGGTTTTTCTGTTATGTGAGATTTATATCCCAGTATTGTTTATACAACTTATCGACCGAATATACTGGTTTACTGGTGATATATCAGAAACAGTGTAGAACATCACCTAAAATTATAATATATTTGCATTTCAGAAATATAAAATGAATAATGATGTTGAATCAATAAGCTCATGTTCCGGTCACTCTGATAAACATGTTTTACCAAAAAATGATTTTATTCGCGACAGCAACTTTTATGCATGTTAACCTTTAAATTGTTTCATGAAAATCACTCAATAATTTTGGCAGTTATCGACTTTATTAGGATCACGGTGTCGTTAAGTTATTGAGGTAGAAGTGAATATGACAATATAATTAACTAATAATGATTACCGTACGCATTTGACGTTGTATTTAAAGTATATTAGTATTCAGAGGTTAAAAAGTGATTACGGCATGCTTTACACAAAATATTTTTTTTTAAATTTATCAATTGTATATAATTACTATTCAAACTTTTTTAGTTTAACAATTTAGCTGTTTGGTTTTCAGTTTTCTATTCTATTAATTATTGTAAGCATATTATATCAATGGGAAAGACATTGTGATACCTATATTATATTACTTCAATTTTAATTCTTCAAAGGTTTATACGATTACATGATTTATTTCGCGAGAATTTTACAATAACCTATATTTAACCGATTATCAAATAATGGTTGTTCTGAGATTAGTTTTCGAAACAAATGAATCGCTGAAGTACTTACTATTTACGATCGTTTTGTTCAGACTGCAAATTATTCGAGCATAATGGTGGAATCTGCTTCTGATTATACTGACTGGCCAGAAGTTGTTTTTACAGTTACACTAAGAAGAAATTCATCTTTCTACATGCAAAGCATGATGTTCCCAAGGTAGAAAAAACGATTACATTTCATGAATTTGTGACCAAACCCATTTGAGTGCTTAACTATTTTATATTTAATTGCTTAATTTTGATGTTGATCAAATAGAACGCCATAACCATAAGTCTTATATGCTCATTATATTTCATTTCCTCTCACAAATAATACCGAATTCATCTTTGCTTCTAACAAGACTCTGGGAAAATAATTTACTACTTATGGGTAAGGAAAACATGTTTATTTTAAGTGATTGGAATATTAAAGACTACAAGGATAGTCTATTCGGGTTGTTTGATTTTTTTTTCGAGGAGGTTGGCCTGACGAACTGAAACTTGAACTCAATGTCTAGCCTACAAACTCAAAACATTCAGCCACTATCAAGCAAAATAATAAAACAACAAATTATTCATTATTTTTAAATTATTCAGCATCCTTTTGACATCAATTGCTCTGCTGGGATTTTTTCTTCCTCCAGATAGCGGTGAAAGAGTAGGATTGCAGATTACAATACTTTTGACATTTATGGTATTTCTTCTAACAGTTTGTGAAATGTTTCCAGCTTCGACTGGACCTTATTTAGGTAAGACGAAAAAATGTTATGAATAAAGCATTCATCTATAGAAAGAATTTGATTAACTGATACCATATATTTTCATTTTAGGGACGTATTACGTGATATGTATCTTTCTACTTGCGGTAAATTTGTTGATGACAGTTCTTGTACTTCGGTTATATTATCATCCGTGTAAACCGGTTCCTACGTGGATCAAAACATTTTTGTTTCAACTTGGTCGTTGTTGCTTTTTTGATGTTACTCAACTCGAAGAATTTAGAGATTTTTTGGGAGATCAGAAATCTGGTAGAGTGAATAATGTTTACGGATACTTCTATCACATAATTTAAAAATGTTAACAGCGCAAAGTATAAGAAGAGAATTAGAAAAGATAAATAATACCTGCTAGAAAATGTCAAAACCAGCCCACTTCTATACAACCCACAAGCAACAAGCAACGGGTAATCAATGAATTTTAAAGCGTTTTGGAAGCATTTTTAAACTTATCTTCTTGTTGTTACACTTGTTATTGTCCACTCATTTTATTTTAGGTGTTGGTAAAATTTCCGATAAAAAATCCACTAATAGAGACAAATCTCCACGACCGCGCGTAGCAAAGAGTTGTTTATGTAACGTCATGCTGTCGTGTTTGAAAGAAGTAGATGAACACACATCGCCACCTGGCGGTAGAATTATAAATAAGAGAGAATACCATTTTCGACACAGCAAACTGCATTTATATGGCGACCATTCTTCTCCCCCGTACCAAAGATCAAGAGTATTTTCAATTAAAAGAAGTGCAAGATTGAATAGATGCGATGAATGTGTAAATGATGTTTCGCCAGGATCGCTCAGTGATGGATCACTGTTCAGAGAATGTATAACTCCACCTTTGAAAATGGGTTCACAAGTAAGCATGAATCGGTATCCGGTATGTGACGCGGCTAATTACTTATCGATTTTAATCGGTAAGTATGTTGATAGGTATTTGTCTGTCTGTATGTTTGTCTGTCTGTTAGATGCACGCGATATCTCACGAAAGCGAGATTGAATCTGCTCCAGATTTTGCATGTGCATTCATCATATGTCTTACCAGAAGCCTATTGATTTTGGATGAATTATGTCGTATAATTAGCAGGTTATTAATTAATTAGTGATGTGACACAAGGTGTCACTATGGAGTAAGAGCGCTGTTTTGGGGGATCCCCTAACTTTCGATCGATAAGTCTTCGGTCTCTACCGATATTCTCGTTTTTATGTTATTAAATTCATATTTGTATAGGATATTTTTTTGTATTGTGAGATAACTATGAAAAGAATCTATTCCATTGTCAAATAATACCTTTTTTGTTCTTTCTAGCAAAAAAAACATTTCAGAAAATATCTATACGATCGAAATGAAATTAGGGCAGACGGTGGTCCTACGGGCGAGGATAAATCTCTATTTCGCATACCACAATGTACATATAGTGAATCTAGAGCACCTATTTTTCCGAAAAAGACGTAACCGATTCCCAGATCAAAATAGAAACTCGTCTCACAGGACGACAGATAAACGTGAAGAAAATTTACAATCTCATAAAAAGAAACTCAAAAATGACACAGACATGGTTGAAATTTTCGGAAAAATAACTGATGTTTTGGATACAATGAAAGATGTAATCAACGACGTAAGAGAGAAGAATATTGATTCAGAAATGGAAAACGAGTGGAAGAAAATTGCTCTAATGATGGATAAATTTTTTCTGCGATTGTATTTTGCAATGATTGTGATCAGTCACGTAACCATCATGGCCATAGCACTTTGCACATCATATATGATAGAGCCACACTCACAACATATAAAAGGTCCGAATTCCATGAGAGCAGAAAATCCATCTAGTCACGAGTAAAGTACAAGAAGTGCAAAAACAATGTAATCAATCAGCATAAATCTTTGTCGGGCGATGATGTGCGCCTTGAATAATCATGTGAACAATTTTTACTCATTGGAGCAATACGTCAACGCGAGATACATTTACTGAAACGTTTACTTTTCAAACTAGTGGGTTTACCCTAGACAAAAAACTACGAACTTATATATACTAATAAATGCCCCATTTATACCCTTTTTTCCGTGTGTACAATTGGTACATTTGTTGTCAACATTTGCTCGGTTAATAGGTACTCATTCGATGGGATTAGTAGAACCTGGTAACATGCTTCAAACTGAAGTTTTAGAAGTGATCATCAAGTTGTTACAGCATTGCACTCGTTGGCATTGTAGGTTAAAATCTCGGGCACAACTTCTATGCCAGCGCTTTATTCACAGTGCAATAAATCGAAAATCGTGTGGCGTGGAACCCATAAAATTAAGTAAGCGACGGAATTGTGACCAACTTCAACATGGTTGACTTTGAGGATACCATACAGTTTGCCACAAATGTGTCAACTATAAATCTTTGATTAAATTCAAAATGGCGTGGCGATATGGTTGTATAGAAACCGGTGCTGTAAAAGTCGTAGTTTGGCTTTCACTGTGCTGGGACAGGAATGGTATTTTTAAATTTCCTGTGATTGACTTTGGAATAACAAACTATGCGATGTTGAAATAATATATTTGTCAAAGTAGGTAAAGACTGTTATATAATTTTGTCACCAGTTTTCATAGAAGTGTTTCAGTTTGTTTAGGGTCGACAGCCCGTCTTGATTGACTTTCCATCAGGTCTGCTAAAAACACTGAAACCGTAGAATCTAAAAATTACCAGAAAAGTGTAACCAATTATTATCTAAAATAAACATTTCAATGAATTGTACAGCAATCATGAGTTTATTCATCAAAATATACTATGAAATAATTTATTCATATCAGCATTACCTTTATTTGCTGCGGCCTCTTCAACTGTAATCAGGCATTGGGAACGCCTTTGTGTCTCCGGGATGTACAAAACTGATAATAGGCGCAACTTACAGTAATATTCCCATTACAGCGTAAGGAATTACATCTGAATTTTACCTGCAGTGAGAAAATTTATAAACAAAGTATTACATTTCAAAATAGTATTTCATTTATAAGATAGTCTTAAAATTCATCTCACTGCAAGAAGTTTTTTAGTCTGCAAAGAAACTTTGTGTTCGTTTTCTGAATAAGATCACCAACACAAATACTTACTACCTTCCTGATTACAGCCTTTATTTGCAATAAAATTCATAAAAAAGTTGTAAGAAAATTAGACTCACTTGCATACATAAAGAAAAGGTGCAGTTAATCCTCTAACGTCACATGTCGAAGCAAAGCTCATTATTGTTGCTCTTTGTGGAGTTGGAGCAATTTCTGCCGTCGTAATGTAAACTATATAAAACATTCCACAAACTGCAAGTTTCCCAAACATGGCTGCTACTGTTTTCCAGACATGCAAATCTGTATAGTAAAAAATAATACTTTCCTTAACTTCACCATAATTTTAGAGTTTCATAGAAATGAACGTTTTCAGAACATGACCAACATGACATGACACCAATGGGGGGATTACTTCATTTTGTACTGCACATCCAATATAAATACCTAGATAATTATTCAGGAATTCTGTTATTTGCAGGCGACACTCGTTGTTTTAAAATAGGGTAAAACATCAAGTTGTAACGTCAAATATAAATCTTGAATCTTATCCAGTTTCAACTCTCAGACCTAAATTCTTATCGGTTGCCTTTATGACATTCACTCCAGAATATATTATAACTAGATTCATAAAGCACTTATTACATTTGTGCGACTGCGAATCCACTCAACGAAATATATACTTACCACTTGGTATAAACGGCAGGGAAAAGCTCGACACTCCACTGATTAGCATTGAGACTAGGATTGATCTGGGACGTCCAATATATTTGACAAGAAAGTAAGCCATAGCCAAACCAGGGAAATCAGAAAGTCCAGAAAATAAGCAATTCAATATGATATTTTGGCTGAAATATGATGAATACAGGGCGATTGCAAAGTACGCAAAGCATGCCACAAACCTGTAATAGTATGATAAGTTACATGTAGTTTATATAAGATAATATCTTAAATCATATATTACTAATTCCCAATATATATTTAAATAATAATTTAAATAATAATTTGATTAAAACTAACTAGGCAGGCTATATACATTAAAATTAACATAAATTGGAAATAATTTGACATGCTAGGAATCGTTATATGCAAAGACATAGGTACGTACGATTATAAATTAAGATATCGGTAGATAAATTGAGTCTATTTAGTTGAAAATAATTTAGTTTATATAATATGAAAATTGCTTATGAACTGAAAATTGATTTAAAATGAATAAGATGAATACTAATGTGTAACGCGCAACAACGCTATCAATGGAGATAGAGAGAATCACCATCGCCAATAAGCCACCAAATAAATTACATATATATATATCTGTTGTATTTATTCCATGTCAGAGTAGTTTTTCCCCGATTGGTCGTATTGAATATAATGCAAACGATGTAATAAACATGGTGTTCCCGAAGTATGTGAACCAAGATGGCGGACACCGGAACGTTATATGTGTACCAGGTTAGAGTTGGGCCCTAATTTTATTCCAATTTTCTATATTGCAGTTTTATAACGTGTTCGGGGACTAGCCAAGTGACTTCCGTAGTATTTGTACCTGAAATTATGTTCTAACCCTAACCTGGTACACATACTACGTTCCGGTGTCCGCCATCTTGGTTCACATACTTCGGGAGTACCATAAACATTGCCGAAACGTTTCTATCTCACCACGAAAAACACGCTACCAAGCATCTCGTCCTGATTTCTTTCCTGAACATAACTTTTAGTGACTTCCACAATCCTGTTGACTTTTCTTCATCTATTTCGATAGGATTTTCCTTATTAAGAAAATAAGTGATAGAAACGGTTGGACTTGTTAACAATAATATCAAATTATATGAAAAAAAAATATTTTCAGAAAGACACCATTAAAATTGTCCAAAAATTTCATGTGTGATTCCGGATGTGGTAAAGTGGTATCACCATTAGGTGCACATATAAAACCTTAGTAACAAACGACGAAGAAGACTCAGAGTAATGCTTCATAAGAAAATCATGCCTAGAAATAAGATGAATGCGAAAAAAAAACAAATTGTTGTGAACGTTTATATTTCGTTTAATGTCACAATGTGACTATTTTGTGGAAATCATTGATATAATCTTCTGCTGGGCGAACTTGAGGAATGTTTCCCGTGAACAAACTTTCGTGTTCGTTAAACTAAAATTATATATATACTTTCAGCATGGTTTGGATATCACATAGTTTATTATTCAATGCCCCTATCTTCATGAGTTCTTTGTTCGCTTCATCTCGTTTTCCTTTAGTCAGTAGCCAACGAGCCGATTCAGGCAACAAACTAGAATCAAAACAAAAAATAGAAAGAATCTTACATGATAATAAAAAATCCTAAGCACATATTCCTAGCTATAGTGCAAAACTGAATCTGGGAATTAGCCTATATCAGTTTGACATTTTGTGTAGCGTAATGTTATAATCTATATGTAAGAAATAGAAAGCATATATTTGAAAGAAAAAAATTGTTTTACCAAAACGAAGGCAGATAAATCAGTAAACTGAATATCGAAATCACTCTGAGAAGCCATCTCCAGGTTTGAAAGAAATATGCAAATCCAGCAGCAAAGATATAACCACAGGAGTATGTGAACCAACTCCCAATTGACAAGAAATTTCTCCATTCAATCCCAGACATTTCAGCCACTGAAATATATTTTTAATTAAAGCATTGGCCCTCTGCACTCAATGGAGACATAATATTTATTATCTCATAGTTAGAACTATTAGCTCGACAGATTATTGCTTTAGTTTAAGAATCTTGGTTATCCCAGAATTCAACCAGAAGTCATCACATAATCTATATAGACTCGTTTTAGAGTCTAGCAAAATGGGTATGTAATGTTGAAACAGCCAGGTCTCTTGACCCATTGCTTTCATCTATGTTTATCAAACCAAGTTTTAAAACAGACATATGACAATGCTAAATTGTTTCATTCTAATTTATGAATGTCTTTATGTGGCATTCGTTTACTTTTTTCGTGTTTGCTTTGCTATTACTTACTCAATGTAAAGGAGGGAACATAGTTCATAATTGATGCGACTCCGGATACAAATATACAACATACAAAAAATATGTAGTTCCAGGAGAATGACATGAGGAGCATGCTAACAACCTGTGCCATGGCGGTCCAGAGAATGACTGGTCTACGCCCGAATCTAAGACAAATGTGACAGGATTATATGTTATTTTAATGTCAAATACAGAATCATGAGGTATTTTTTTAGAAAGTAATGCTAAGTTTTAGATAATTTTTATTAATGATCCACTGTTCAACTGTCCAATGAATGAACCACTGTTCAGAATTTAAGTATTCGCAAATGGTATCTATATTTTGATTAAATTGAGATGTTGAACACAATTTACAATATGTGAAAAAATAACTGAAATCTGGCGTATTTTTTCACATAAAGACCGTAATCCATTCTTCGGTTTGGATTATTATTTTGTATCAAACTAGGACCTTGACGGAATGCTGGTCAAAATCTAATCAGACGTGGATGTTGTATAATTTATGATCTTTTACAAAATAACCATAAATACGACTTTGACTCCGAACAAGACCACTTCTAAGTAATGACCCATTGAAGTTCGTAATCGAACGTTTTAATCACCAGTCCATCGTGCCCAGTAACTTAGACAAATTTATTGGACATGGATTGTTTTTGTTCTAATTCAGCGAAACATTGATAAACATATTCCATTATCCTAATTACTCACGTTTTCTGAAATTGTAAAATTCCAACCCATTGTTGGTATGCAGTGAAAATCTGGCTCGTAGAACGTGAAAACGAAATGTACGGCAATAAGTAAGTTTGGTATCGAACTTAGGCCGACCAACACATATAATTGTTTATGATAATATCCGGTTGATCCAACATATTCAAAGAAATTTTGAATTTGCATTTCGTTGTCGTTAATATAACTCTGTAAGAGTTACTTAAAAAGCTATTTTTAAATATCCGAAAATAGATATATATATACTAATGAATTTCGAAAAATGTATAGAATAACAAAACGATTCAGCAAAGTGATTTCCTCTGTTTTTAAAGTATGAAACCTTGCAAATCATCCTGAAGGTTTTCCGAAGTTGTTTTTAGTAATCAGTAATTCATTTTTTTACCATGCTGAGAAAGAACTCACAACATACAAAGTACATTAAGTTATATAGGAAGAAATTTGAATTAGAGGGCGAAAGGAGACGCGGAAAACCAATATTGTTATCGTGCAGCGGCACCCGTTTTTAAATAATCATTTATTTCAAAAACCCAATATTGATCCTCAACCAAGTATACAACATAGAGATTGATAATGTATTTGTTATTTCATCCAATGTGAGTTATATATATATGAATTGTGATGTAGACTCAGGGCTTTATTTTTAGCGACATATATTGACGATAAAGTGAAAAACATGTAAAAATGTTTCATTGAGACGACTGTCTTAGGCCACAAAATACTGATCGAATCCCTCGGCCCAAATAAACAAAAAAAAACACGGAAGCCGATGTTTTATTGTACATTTCTTCATTTTATTCACAGTGCCTATATGGAAAGTACTCTTTGAATTGGAACAATTCAAGCGATTTTCATATATGTGATGTTAAAACTATATTATATCAGCTGTAGTCGTTTTTGTTTGATTTTATACATTTTTCCTACATTTGAAAAATATATACAAAGTAAATAGATTTGGTCCTCTTTGTTACCATATAAAGTATTTACAACACCACTGTAGCAACAATATCTCGGTAGGGTTGAAAAGAAAAACTTCAAACCAAAATATCAGTATATATTGATGTTTAGTGAAAAAAGAATTATCACCTCAATATAAATATTACTTTACGGAATGAAAACAAAAGCAAGTTATGCTTTGCTGAAACTAGTGATCACAAACTGTCGTAAAACGAATAAACATGGTTCCTAAATTTCATTCACATTAGCTTGTATTACAAAATCTGCAGATGTAACCTTGAAATTATTCGTTCGCCATTGTGTTCTACAGTAAATTCGGTTCAAGATACACATGAATAATAATCTTTTACGGCTATGTAAAGTATCACCACGAATCGACGATAGCGTCATGCGTTGAAGAAATCATGCCGCTTCGACGTCCACTGAAGCAAAATTAGTTCAACTGTACTTTCTTAACTCAAAGTCAACTGTACTTATATATCGGTCAAATACTAGATTACGACGGTTTCCTGTTTTCGTACTGCACATTTATATATATATATATATATAATTATTTATCTTCAAATCGAAACAGCTTTCTCGATAGTCGCATTTCGTGCGGTTATTTTTGATTGAGGAACAGCCCGACATTTTTTTTTTCATTTACTAATAATTCGAAAGGACTCTTCCATAACCAAATTCGCGGCGTCCACGTAGGCTACTCCGTGTACTTCCAGCAGCTTGTACATATGCTTATGATCCTTCATGTGATGTTACACTGTTCTACATCAAATATGTTTTTGTTCACAGACCGCCATCGTCCCTATTCAACTATCAACTGAATTTCCGACCAGATGGATAAGATCTTCTTTTTGTTTCTGCCTGTCCAATTTGTAATATTGGGATATTTTATTCCTATTGACTATATTCAAATACAACAGACCTAGCTGGTATAAAAACATGACTTTTCCGTTTCCCAATCCTTCTCTCTAATTGTCACATTTCCAATGATCGTGTTTGCCGATATTTGTCCCGAAAGAGCATATTTCTTATACATAGCCTACATACATGGCGCATTGCTATCATATTGCGACTGGTGCTCCCGGTTAACCGTAAGTTTGCACCTGTTTAATGACAGTGAACTTGACGGACTAAAGCTTTAATATTACTATAGAACAGCGTTTCCCAAATTTTTTTTGTCACGGAACACTTGCACTTTTTTATCTCGCCTCGCGGAACACCAAATAAGGAAAGGGTAAAACTGTTGAAGAAAAACGGTGTATAATGTGGGGGTTCCCCATGGGTTTGCCGTGGCGAGTTGCCAAATGCGCCGCGAAAACTAACAGAATTGTGTTACCTAAAATAGAATTGAATATATTACATGTTGCAATAATTATAAATGTTTTACCGTTGCCTAATTTAAATGCTGTGTATGTGAATCATAAATTCATTTTATCTTTCTATGTCATTTACTTTCCATTCCGCAGTGTTCATTGCCTCTAATTTCACGTCTAATGGAGATAGAAGTACTTGCCGAAATTTCGCGAACTGCAGACATGCAGTGTATTTATCTGCTGAACCATGTTCATCGAACATGAGTATTTTTTTCAATAACGTTAAAGTAAAACTAGGCAGAGATGGAGGAAGAAAGGTAGACTATTATTATTATTTAGATATACCAACTTGTTTGCCTATAGCTAAAAGGATTGCTGTAAACTTGATAATGAACGTAACAGTAAAAAAGCAAGGCCGATGGTTAACGAAATTGCCACTACCCTGCCCAAGATAGTCCGCTTTAGGCCGACGTTAAAGCGATGTCGAACGGTCAGATGGGTGACAATTTCACGATCACTAAATCGCCGTGGCGACCAATTTAGACGTAGGCCTAATTGATTTCTTTTCCACGGAAGACTCGGAAGACGCTCGCGGAACACTAGTGTTCCGCGGAACACAGTTTGGGAAACGCTGCTATAGAAAGATCAACAACATTAACACAAAACGTTCCATACGTATCTACATTAATTTATAGTCTCCGTAGTTTCGGCACTTTATTAATCACATATAACTTCACTCAAAGTACAATCTCCCATATTCCTGAGGGAGTGCGCGCGACCAAACACCAACGACGTCTGCTTGTGCTCGTACGTGATAATATGTCGCTAAATACGATTTAATCGACTATCCAGGATAATAATTGGTTCATAGGATAATTATTGGAGCTTGGCTAACTAATGCCATAACCGACATGGACTGGTAACAGGAAAAGAGGCCGTGGGTCGCCATATTATTAAGCCGGCTTATCGGGTCTCCCCTCCCCCCAGGATAAATATGAAAATTCTATCCTACTTTAACAGCAGAATGTGCATGGTGCAGTTTAATTTCCAAATAGTCATAAAAACACGCTAACAACTGGCGTTGAGTATAATTTTCTGATTTAGGCTACCTGTCTACGGTTTTCAAAAAACAATTGTAACATAAATTTAATCAATATTTCAATTGAAACTAAAAAAAGGTTACCAAAAGTAAAACGATACGAAAGTATACCATATTATTCAAATTCTATTTTCCCATACCTTGTCCAGAGCCATTATGGGCTCTGCCTTGTCAATGCTTCGTTACCTTACGACGGCACTCTGAAGATTTGAGGAATGCATCCTAAACTCTACTTTTGTAGACCAATCCCAGAATTTCTCTCTTTTTAATTCTACTGCTAATTTAAAAAATGCAGAAATCTTACTTTCACAACTTTATATATACTTCGAAAACTTAATCCGAGATTTTTTGAGAATGATTGCTAGTTGCTACACATTTTAAAATATGCTCACTAAACGTAGAAAATATCGAAAAATTTAAAACACTTTTTCCGCATGTCATAGATAAACATGTGCCCGATGCTCAAAGCAGATTGGCCATTGCATTCTGGGACCACCCATTGTATGTGAAACGCGGCCGGTGTTCGCATTCTTGATCTTTTGAAGGGAACTCTGCGTTGTTATCGGGTTTCCCCTACAACTTTGTATGAAATGGACAAGTTGAACATTCGTAGTAAGCTGTATAAACAGTTTCTCAGTGGCAAGTACTGCGATTTGCACATTCAGGTAGAGAGTTCCTACTTCAAGGCACACAGCTGCGTTGTTGCGGCAGCTTCTTGGGTTTTGGAGGCGATTCTACAATCATCAGCAGCAGAAGACCCAAATTTATCAAAGCTTTCGATTCAATTGCATGGTGTGACTGCGTATGCTTTATCGTCCTTGTTGTGCTTCATTTATACTGATAAATTTCCTGACGAAGTCTACAATGATGAAGAAAAACGCAGCCAAGTTTTGCATGCGGCAAAATTGTACAAAATGGAGGACATTCCCACGGAGTTTCAACCAGCACAAACTTCCAATAGGCCGCCTATGTCCAAATTTGGAAATGCTGGAATCCAGTAATTTAAATGATAGTTTGTTGGAAACTTTTACAAATAATCAAGAAAAAATTGGGGATCCAATTACCACCTCAGAATCTGAAGAACAAAATGCTGATCAAATCATGTGTGAGCAAATTGATGAACCATCTGAAGATGTTGATGCTAATATTGAAAAATTACCAGTTGAGACAGTAAAAGAACATGTTACACAAACAGTGGATTATGCAAAAACACATGGTATTTTATACTGTGTAATTTGCAGTGAAATATGCGATACAGAAGCCGATCTGATTACACATATGTCAGAGCACAAAGATAACAAAACTCGACGACGTCCAGAGCGGGCAGCTGCAGCGAGGGCTGGAGCAGTAGCTTCATTGTTAGCTGATGTAGCAAATGATGATGATGAAGAAGATATTGATGATTACGTTGATGACTCGCAAATATGTGAGTATATCTCCAGTTCCACAGAGAGGCAAACGAGGAAACAAAAGCGAACATTTGTCTGTGCTGTTTGCGGAATTATGTACAATTCAAAAGGGCATCTTGTCAGGCACTATAAACAGTCGTCATCCTGAAACCCTTTTCTGTAAATATTGTGCTGAACAATTTGAGACCGCTGAACAATTACGCACTCATATTTTAACACATCCAGAAGCTTCAGAAACTACACCTCCGAAGAAAAACAATGGAAAAAATATAAGGGAAAGAAAGTTTATAATTGCAACTTGTGTGCTACCTCATTCATGAAGAAAAAAGAATTGAGTCAACATCAGGCCAAACTTCATGGCATGTCAAGCCATTGCATCTTTGCTCCATATGTGGGAGGGAATTTAAAGAAAAATCTAGTCTGAAAGCCCACAATCGTGTTCACACTGGAGAAAAACCTTACATGTGCACATTCTGTGGCAATTCTTTTGCTGATCAAAAAACTTGGAAAGATCATGAACGACGACATCGTGGAGAAAAACCGTTCCTGTTGTACAACATGTGGGAAGAGTTTCACTTATCGGCAGTCATTTACTCGACATATGAAATTTCACGAAGGGAAAACGACCATTTCAATGCTCTTTCTGTGGAAAAGCCTTCGTACTTAGACAGAACTTGAAAGAACATGAAAAAAGGCACAACAATAAGTTTATATGAAAGATATAACAATGTAAATTTTGAACAATCATTTTTCCGAACTTTCAATTGTTTATAAAAACTTGTTTGTAAAGATTTTACCAATCAAAAAAAAGCTATTAGTGAAAATTTAAAAGTTGGCAAATTAAGACTTATAGCTAATTTTGAAGGAAAAATGCCTTGATGGACCGTACAAGGTATCAATCAATTTGTGGGTCGTTTTTATCTTCCATTCAATTTAGCTTGTGTTGATTTTGACAAACTGTAAGTGGTTGAGTTGTTTACTTAAAAATGTTGTGAAAATTTTCTGGCACAAGGACAGTCGGTTGCATCACTAAACTCATTGATTTTCAAAACTTTCACATTGATAGTTTTTAGTTTAATGGTATTTATATTGCCAAATGCATGCTTCTGTATTTTCACAGTAAAAATCACTAGATTATAAATCTTTTTTTGCAACAATTTTTTTGTTAGTTTCAATGTTTCAGATTCACTTTGCGAAATGGTGAAGATTGGGTGATCACTTTTTGTCAATTTAATTTTACATTGGGTGCTATATCATTTTGCAGGATGGTTTTCTGCTATTTGTCCTACTGTTATATCCTAAACAATCCTGGCTGATTTACTGTTTGCATAGCAAGTCCATCTTCTGGTCTGACAAGGTTAAATAAATATTCATTAATCATCATTTATAAATTTGCTTTATGCTATAAGAAGTTTTGAGGTATGATGGGAATATAATATTGTTCAAATATATTTGATATTGTATCATTCTTGTAAAATGTAAAACTTGCGTTTTTATACCTACGCAGAGTAATATTTTGCTTAATGTCTATCTGTAATGATAGAAACATGACTTTAAAAAGAGAGCATTGTTTTCTTTTTTTGTGTTTTGGGATTTTTTACACTGCTTTTCTTTAACTATATGTGTGAATGAGATGTTGGCCCACACTTTTTATTGTTTTCTTCAATTTTGTACATAATATTTAGATTATTATATATTACAACAAATTTCTCATAACAAATGGCTACTTTGACGTTGGAAAAACTTGAAGAAAGATTGGTGGCCTTGGAAGAATCAATATGTCCAGATGATAATAAAATTGTAAGCTGAGATATAATTTCAATGCCTTATATATAAATAGAGATAAATTACACTGCCTCAATGTGATTAAGGTACTTTTCGCAGTATATGAAATAGTATCCTTACGTAAAATCGGACCTAAATTTACTTTCAAAGAGACAAAAAGTAATTCCAATATATTTTCTCTGGACAAGGACAAAACAAGCTCTACTTAAGCATTTATTTTGATCTGTTGGATCATTTCTGTACTGGGCAATAATACATTCAATGATTATCAACAAGCAGTCAAATATTCTTTTCAACAAGTTATAATAACTTCCTCCTAATTGTTTTAACTTTTTTTCAGTTGATTGATTCTCTATCATCCTTGAATGAAGCATTAAACAACTTGGCAAGTAAAAGAGAGAGAGTTAACTTGGTTTTCAAAAGAGGTATACTAATTTTTTTCAAGCAAGCTTTTCATCATATATAAGTAACCGTTATTACCCATTGATCTCACATAAACATAAAAGTTAAACGTCTATGAAGTGGTATCTGGATGCATTGCTTTTTTGCAGCACGCTGGTTTTTAAACAGTTTGTTGCAATTCCAACTTGCTTATGCTCTGCACAACTAATATTCCATATTATTCATACGAAATACAATTGTTGATTTATGTTTTCATATGGCCTAGCGCACTGTTTCCCCACCAATGACCCTTCCCAAGGGGGGCAACAGTGCAGATTTTCATGCGAATTTGTTTGCCTCATCCAGAGAGCAAAAAAATTTGGTAGGTAATGCAGAGCTAGGAAGATTTTGGGTATTTCAGAAAATATGGTTCCACACATATCATGTATAGGGAAATTTTTGTTGCAAAAGGCACGAATAAGCATCTCATAAAAATAAGTAAATGAATATTTTAATAGTATTACAACTCATTTTCGAAATTTCTCAGTTCCAGAGATTCAGGAGTACTTGGAACCTGGATTTGTCGAGAGTGAAGAGCTTGATGTATCAGCTCAACGTGATTATATTATTCTCATTGAAGATGAGATTAAAAATATTACAGAACAGTTACAACAAGTCAAACAATTATCCGCAGTATTGAATAGTGAACACATCCGTGATTATAGAAAGCATTTACCGAAAGCAAACCAACTTCAGCTGAAACAGATAGAACAAATGGTAAATTTTGATAATTTTTTAGCTTGTTGCAACTTGACTTGAAATTTGTATAACGAAAACCTTTCATTTTCATTAATCTTGTTTCGCAAGTTTTCACAATGCAGTCAAGCTGATGTTACAATATAGGACTATAAAGTTGTTGGTGCTTTGTTAAGAAATTGGTGAGAGCCTTATCAAATACCACTGTTCGATATTATGTTTTGTACATAATGTATGCTAAGATGAGAATTCAAAAAGCAGTAGCCATTTCCTTATAATAATAGTAGTAAGAGAATAATGTAGCATCCCATCGAACCACGATTGTAGCTTTCGCAACTGATTGGATTTTGCAAGCAAAATATTTTAAAATAATTATCTTGCAGGAGGAAACTGAAAATTTGGGCAGTGACATCGCTGGACTTCTAAATCGTTATAATGATTTGGTGAGTTTTTTAAGTTAGACAAAATATCAAAAATGTTATTTTTGACCTTTGTAATATATATATAACCATTTCTTATGGGAATTTTCACATTACAGACTCGCCAATTATCTGAATATTTTGTACAAGTTAATAATATTGTAACAAGTTTAGAAGAACAGAAGATTAAAGAAGAGGGAGACAGATGATGATTGTTATTATTTTTTGTGTTGAAGCTAAATTTTATATAAATATTGCATGCAATTGTACTAGTTCTGTTGTTCATAGCTACATGTGGATGTTATCAATGCAGAAAAATTTTCGGCAACAAATTGTGGGGTCTTTATGTGACTATTTATTTGGTTTGTCTTTGCAAATAAAGTCATGATTGTTGTGAAATTATTTTCTGTTACTTCGAATAAAGAAAAATTTAGGTGAATCATTAGTTTGAAATTATTTTACTGGTGAAAGGAGAATTTTCCGCTATGTTAGAATCTCAAATTGCTCCAAATGGAGGCTCGGCGAGCTGTTCGTACTGACTTGGATAATTTTGCAACTGTCCAAAGAAGCAATAACAGCATTAATAAAATTTGACAACAGTAGTGGCCAACAGGGTGGTTATTCGCATATGACATTATCTATAAGATCCAATGGACAGAATAGATAATACCATATTTTAATTATCGCCTTGTTACCCTATTTCAACACTATATGCTTGTCAAATGTAAGTGAGTTAATATAATTTATCTATGAAATTTAGATTCATTTCCTGCTTTTATTAAGAAATGTCTAATATTTTTTAAATACAAAGCAGTAAATACATCTCGTCATTAAATAAAGTAATTTTAATTCCATAACATCAAAAGTTTGAGAACCTCTGGACATGCTAATTTGAAATTACCTGACATTTACTGGTGGACTGTATTTAAGATAACCATATTCTATACCTACCTCACTTGAAGGAAATATATATTCACCATGTCCAGGGAGTGTCCACCACATTTCATACATTGAAACCGTAAGCAGACTATATACGAAATCCTGAATTACCATGTTGCCTCAGAAATATTGTGTACCAATTGTATGAACCATATGTTAGTAGTGAAAGAGGACTTTAACTCAAATACTCTATCTATCCTAACCCTGAACATTGACTGAATCCCAACAGTGGTATAAAAAGCGCGGGACACGACATTTTTTGAGGCACTGATTTCAATGCCAGTTCAGGTCAAAAGTGGAGTCTCGATTTACAAACAATACCTACTTTCTCTGACTGCGTATATTTTCCCGAAGTTTCAATGTTCTTCAACAAACTCTCATTGGACTTCAAAAATCACAAAGTATTCTCCACAAGACAAATCAAGTTGTACTTAAGCTTTACAATTTTTTTCATGGTCTCAACGGTACAAAATAATTTCAACGGTACACAATAATTTTTTCCTTTAGTTGAGGAAATTCCTCTTACTGCATTGTAATGTTTAACTGAGATGCCATTTGAAACAGCGACAGCTTTGTGTTTGTATGGAACGGAGAAAATGTTCCTGGTTAGCAAATCAAAAATTCTGTTGCTTCTATTAGATTCCCAAAAAATCAAAAACAAGGGATTGGATGACTAACTAACCAAATAAAACGAATTATTAAAAAATCCCGGACATTTAAGCACATTTTATCCTGGTGGAGATTTGGTCACTGAAATTCCGGACATGTCGGGAAAAAAGCTGACGTATGACACCCCCAAATTAGAGAGTATCTTATCCTCTTTTTTGACGTATATTGAGGGGAGATTACCAGTGCAGTACGCTTGTCTCATGCATCAAGCCTCCTTTGAAGTTTTGACAACCTTTCTTTACTGCATATTGCAATCCTTTTGTACTATTGCAGAGATAAAATCAATTCTCTATCCATATTTATCAAGCTCATAAGAAACTTTGCCTATCACATCAGCTGACCCTATCCCACTCCTATATCAATAGTTTACTGCTTGGTTAGGATAAACGGCTCAATGGGGTAAAATCTTATTCTGTGTTCATTTATGTTAAAACAAAATATCGATCAAATATGAAAGATTTGGAACCAGTACAGAACCCACAATCATCACAATATAACCAAGATTCTTTTGTGTGAAAATATGCAAGCACATTGATCTCATGAAAGGTTTTATTTGGGAGGGTCATGAGAAAAGTTGGCCGTACCAAGAGGAACACTGAGGTGAGCCAATAATATGGCGTAATGGTACCCACTACCAGCCCAGATTTAGAATGATATAGGTACATGTATGGGTCCTTGGCAGCAAAGAGATATTAATTTTCTAAGTAGTTCAGCTTTTGCATTATTTTAAAACTCAAAGTGATAAGAAAAGATGCATATATAAAATTTATTCATGCGTAACAAACAATTATCAGTAAGTAATAGTTACAGTACCACCCTTTGTATAACGTTAATGTGTGCATGAAAAAAAATATTCTATTTGCAAAATATAGCAAGAGGCAAAACATTAAATATTCATCCAGCCAGCTTTGGCCATCATATTCAAATAATACAAATCAATAAAGAGATAAAAAGTTGGTGAGAATTCAGAGGGAAGCGAAAATTAGCCCGAGATAGGCATACGTTTTTGAATCCTTGACAAAACATTACAGATAAAAATGTACAAAATTATGTGAAAGGGTATTTCTCCTATAGGTCATAGATTTACTTTTTTTATACAACATATATATGCTTATTTTTCTATGTATGGAGCTACTTAGTCTGAAAGGCCGAGAATATCTCAGTTCGACCTACCAATTCATTACATCCTGGGATGGCGGACATCTAACGTGTTAACAACTTGGCCACGCACCTGAAAGAGTGAGGACCCTAATACAATCTTTGTCTAGCCGTAAAATAAGTGATGACACAAACCTAGCCATTATGTGTTGATTATATCCCAGACATCACATAATCGAGATTCAGAACCATCTTTGTGTTCAAAAAGGGGTTGCATAAGGTCTTCAATCTGAAATATTTATCTTTTAAGTGAGTTGAGATAACAAAGGATATTACGGAACAAAGCAATATTTAGAACCCTTATAGGTAAAAAAAGAAACTAGAAATCTTTTGCATTGATTCAGAGATACAAAATACACTGCAAAAAAAAAATTTGCGAACATACTGAAAACAAGAAAAAAAAAGTTTAAAACTGTTTTTAATCATTCAGCAACTGATAATGACATAGAAATAAATTCTTACATACAAAAATGAAAGATTAGCAATGAAAATTCATCTAAATGTGTATTGTTAAGCAAAGGATTATGCACATGGTCAGTAGTTGTTTCGCACTTCACCCCATGTTTGTTCAGATTTTAATGTCAGTATTTTACGGATGAAAATGGTTAGTTACAATGAAAAAAGAAACTTGGGGCTAAGAAAAAACAGCAATTATGAATCCGAGCATCTATGGATTTTGGACAAAACAAACATAAAGGAAATTTTAGCAAGTAAAAAATTACGACAAGAAATTGTATAATTCGATAGGTAGTCTTGCTGCACACTAACACAAATATATTTCTGTAACGTGTCTACTCTGACATACATATTTTTCAACTAAAGCCATGTGTATGTACACTGCAATTGCCAATTGTATGTTTACAATTAAAAAAATGCAAATATTACAGTAATTTATAAGCGAGTGCCAAATTTCGGTTGCTTTCAAAGGTCCCATGTTATATTAAATGTTTCAACTTAATTGCTACGCTAGTAAATTATTGAGAGTTGATTAAATTGAATTAAGATATGCATGTTAGAATGACAAAATACAACGCAACATTTAGGATTTAACATTTGGATATTGTATACATGTTTTGAGATCATTTTTTATATTATGTTGATGTGCTTTTTTATATAATCTTCATGTTTGAAAAAGAAGCTTACTTATTGAAATTAAAAACAATTCTGGTAATAAAATACAAAAATTATGGAGCGTTCATTATCGAAGGTCGAATTGCATTTAAAATATATTCCATATTCAAGTACTTTTCCAGAATGTTCAAATAAAAAATTATCCAGTATTATACATCATCAATGGGTGCAATGTTGCATATCATATACAATTTAATTCACGTAGAGAAAAATGGAAATAAGTTTGTACAACATTGTTTTTTTCAATATCATATGGAATATCACATACACGTTTGATCGTTTTCTATTAAAGTATATGAATTCTAAAATTTCTGGCTCTTGATGCAACTTGATGGTGTTTCTGTGACCAATACATTATTTTTAGTTTTTAAATACTGTTATTGACGTTGTTTAAAGTAAAATTAAAACAAGATCTCTCTGTTCTTTGTTTTGTCCTTGACATAAGCGGTAAACCTCCTCAAAAACTTGGGATATTCACGTTTATATACAGCTCTCAAAACTGCAGCTGGTGCCCAACCTCCGGGATTAACTGAAATAAAAAAAATATGACTTTGTAAGGTACGATCTAAGACAAATCTGTATTATATTCAATCAAATACGGACATTGTATCAAAAAGAGAACAAGACGTATCAAAATTTTTTTAGCATATTAGGTTGATTACTGCTCTTTTCTTGCAGCCAGTATGCACTGACTGCAACAATAATTTAGTGGTTGAGATATTTTTATATCATTCTCCCACTAATTTGATTCTATATCGTTCCGCCAGTACAAAGTCTGACTTGTATATGGAGTCAAAAATTTTTCCAACTACAACTTTGAATATAGATCTCAATTTTGATCTAAAAATTTTCTGGTCGACAACCACTCCTCAATTTCTAAATTTCATGTTGGTATATTTTGTATCTAATTCGTGATATAGTGATGAATTTAACAGAGTAAAGTCATGAATTTACTGTTAAAATAGTAAACTTAGATAGCAGCGTACGCCAACCGCCACAAGGTGCACAATTTATATTTTTGATGACGTCCTCGCACACAAAAAAAAATCCCATAGAACCCACAGAAATCTTGAAAAAAAATAAATCTAATGATCTTCTAGCATCAAAAAACAATCTATAGCTACTGAAAATTTCAAAGCAATTAAAGAGATGAGCGAATAACAACATTTCATAACAATAAGAACAAGAAAAATAATTTTAACAAAATCAACAACAACATAATGCCAAAACGATCTATAGATCCACTCCATGTCCAATAACAATATATAGCTACAAAGGGTCTGTTTTAGCCTGTGGTTGTTAGAAGCAATACTGGAGACTGATGGACAAGCTAATTCTGAAGCAAAGCACAATACTTGAAAATAACTTACTGTTAGCGACATAAACAATTTTGCATTTGAGGCAGTTTCTATCAATTGGTCCTCCATTAGGTGGCGGTGTAACATAGGTTTCACATATTAATGCTATACTGATGATTGCTCGTAAACATCCCGCGACAGGCTACAATTAATATGATAACATTGATTATTAATTGACAATATCAAAATAAGAAAAGTTTAACAATGTTGAAAAATAGTAGAAAAAGCATTTTGAGCCACTGAAAATAGTTCAACAGTACAATAATATTGGGATACTATGCAATACAAGAGTCCTGCTAACACAAATGTATTTCTGTAACGTTTCGTCTGACCAAAATCAGACTTCTTCAGACAAGCAGTTTACAAATCAGCATCCTTGCATTATACGCGTATGAATCCACTAGCGCGAAGGCATTGAGAAAGGATTGTGAGTTAGTCTCGCGCAACCTCTACTGATAGTAATAAAAAGATAGTTTTAATTTGCAGGTAAATAAATCTAAAACTACTTACATTGTTATCAGGGTGATCAACAGAGAAATTACAAACAATGTACGTATCGTGTGGTTTTGGATTTTGTACCATACCTTCCGGAATCATATCGTCGACCTGATTCAAAATAAAAAATTAATTATTTGATTAGATTCCTTTTTTAAATAAAGTTAAGCTTGTTTCATATCCAAGAATAATATTATGTAAAGTTTGGTATGCAAACTATGCATTCAGTTACCATGACTTATGATTATAAAGACTCGGCATCGAGAAGAATTTGATCACAAAACAAAGAATTTTGTGAGTGTAAGTAAAAATTCCAAACATTTTATTCAGTATATACAGATGTAATCAAAACCGCTGTCTAGATGAAAGCCCAATAATTCAAATGGTCACTAGGGCCTCACAACATCTCTACTTCAAATTCAATTCCATTTATACATCAAAAAATTAATAATAGTGGATGAAGTTATTTTAACATTATCAATATCAAGCATACAAACAGTATCCAAGTACAGTATATACCAACAATCTATAATTAATACCAACCTTCTTTAACGATGATAAATAGAGGCAATCTCGTTGTGACGCAGGCCAAACTCTTTTATGTGTTTGATAAATGATGGATGTGTGATCATCAGGAGCATCCAATACACGGAAACTTTCAATTGTTGCTATGGAAACAAAAAACAAACATGTATTATCATCACTTCACAAATTAATTTATCAGATGGAGTGGGATGGGTTAACAACCAGTCTAATGTTAAACTAGGCAGTGACCAGAAAGCCAAATTAGTATATTTGGTTTATTAATAATATTTACCAACAATAAGTTAGTTGTGCGGCACTGTCTCCAAAATGTCGTGTCCCACTTGTCTTAGGCATCCTTCCTGTACCACGTGTCCCGGAAAAGTGGGACAAGAGTGGTACAAGTGGGACACAACATTTTGAAGACATCCATTGCGCGGCATTAAAGTACTACATTGTCAATATTACATTGAGACATAGAATATGAATGAAAAGAAATCAAACTGAGGTACTCTTTAATCACAATCTAAGTTTATAACCATTGTAATAATACATCATGCCAGTGTCAAACTTCATTATGAGTGAATGAAAAAAGCACATACCTTCCCATTCCATTCTAATGTCAGTATCCCAGAAATAATGACACATTTCGTGAGCAGTAACACCTTCTATTGCATGCATGGCTTTCAATGGATCACATATCAATCCATCTTCCTCAAGTTCACGTCTAAAGAAAAATAATGAAAATCATTAAAATTCAGATGTTTAATGCAAAAAATGTATCAAGTAAAGCCAAGTGAATCAGTTGGCCTAAATAAGTGTCTTCAAAGCTATGAGTGAATACCAAAAAATTTAAATTTTCAGCTATCGTTATCAGTTGGCCACAAGCTTTCATATGTTTACTGTCAGTGTAACCTCAGGGCGATAAATTTTTTTATGTTTTAGCAAGGTATTTTTCGGAGTTTCATGTCAATCATTCATAAATGAATAGTTTCAGACTTTTAGTAGCTTTTAGAATTTATGTATCTGCCGTAACTTTGCCCAGAGATGAGTTTCCATTACTTCTGAGCGGATGAGTGCGGCCTTTGAGCAAAATCGCGCAAAAAAATAACAATATATGCCAATTAAGAGATACTGACTGATATGTTATAGAATCTGACCATATTTACAAGAATGAAAGAATTTATTTGTCAGATAGTTCATTTGTTAAAAACAGGCCAATTCGCCCTAATCGCTACAAAAGAACCAAACTAGCTTATGTCACGTTTTGAGAAAATCACATTTTACAGCCAATTCAAAACTAAAACGTATACAGCTTTGAAACCTAGACCAAAAAACTGCCCTTGGTCCATAATGGTATAATATCAAAAAGTCCATTTCTGAAAAATGTGACATGAGCCACTTTGGTTTTACTGCGGCTGGTGACTACACCGACAATAAAATTGCATATCAATTGTCAAAGATGTCAGACATTACCAATTTCATTTATAAATCAGATTTATATTTCCATCAAATTCATATATTCAAAACCCACCTATATACTTTCATTTCTCCTTCTTCAGCAAACAATTCCCAGTCGGTATGTTCATCTTTACTTGGATCTTTCACCGAATCGATTAAATGTTCATGTATTCTTCGTTCTAATTCTCTAGTGAAAGGGTGTACTGTTTTTTCTTTTTCGATTGCAGCTTTTTGTAACTTCTTCGAATGTTCCCTCTAAAGTATATTTAAACAAAATTAATAAAACCATGTTAAATGTTATTATTAGTATATCCCACCCTATCTAAATCAGAAATTATCGGTTGCTGACGGGCTGTGTTCACTGTAATATTTGACATGAATATTAATTTCACTCTAGTAAAATTAACACAGTGAATTTACAATTTTGTGCATGTAAAGTTATATATGCACACACTTGTATAGATTAAATTCATTTAATCCTCCGAGTATCTAGCTTAGTCACTGGAGCTTGTTCATGGGAAATAGTAAGTCTGGCCTTTTACGAAAAGGATTGAAACTTATTTAAAATCAGAGAAATATAGATGATCTAAAAATTAAATGGAGAAGGGTTTGCGAATCACAATAATCAAGAAAATTTAGTATCACGTTGCAATAAAACAATGATTCACATTGAAGCAAGCTGTGATTTAACAATATTTCATTGTTTCCTACCATTCCATGAGTTCATGGTGATACTCCAACTAGTTTATGACTATTTCTCTTAATACTGTTCTAAGACCCTGATTAATATAAATCGTGAATATGGGCCTTGCTATGCAACTCACATCTTCTACTATTTTATCTTGTTTATCAAGCTCAGCCTCGACTGCATCAAAAAATTCTTCTTCCGTAATCGTACTTTGTGGTCCTTCTTCAAAATCAGGGCTTCCAGCAAAAGTAATTTTCTGTTTTGCAGACTCTACGGCATGCCGAAGTTGTTCCTCTAAACGTCTTCTTTTCTCGTGCTCCTGTGAGACAAGTCAATAAGAAACATTTTATTTAGGAAAAATTTGAATTAATATCTCACCCTAAAAGAAAGTTATAAATTCTGATAATCAAAATTTGATAGATTCTTTGGACATTTTTTTGCAAACCTGTAAAATTTGTCAGTATTGCATAATTTTGCTGCAAATAATCAGCTTAATTCAGAATCAAAATTATTACACGGAAAATTAATTAAATAAACACAAAAAAAGAAAATTTTGTTGTCAGCTGTAAATGGAATTTGAATAAAGGCAAAAAGCAATGATCAAATACATGTGGACAAATGTCAAATAAAAGTAATCCCAGGGATGTCCAAAACGAATCGATTATTGGAAAAAATTCAAATTTAGTACTGTATATTACTATATTCCATATAAAAAATTTGGATTCGAAAAAAAAATAAAAGTATTAGATTCCTAGCCTTTTGATGCTCACGGTAGGCTGCCATACTCATGAAATTGATCTATGGATGGTTTAGTTATTATGTTGTTGTTAGTATTCTTCTTCTCAAGTAAAAAAGCAGTAATAAAAAAAAAATCCCAAATCTCCTCACACACCTTCTCCAATCTCCTCTGCCATGTTTCTTCTCTACTCGACATTAGATCGATACAATGAGACAAAGTTGCAATAATTCCTGCTGTTGTTGCTTTGAATGTTATTGCTTCTCCTTTGAAATCAATTCCTTCTGGTCTGTAAGTCACCTGTGAATTGATATTTGTGTGATTAATTCTTAGAACAAAAAAGTGTAAAATGTACCGTAATTTGCGCCCTAATTTAAACCGAAAAGTTTGTGCAATTCAAAACTCATCACATTATTTAATTATATACATTTTACATCAAATTTTGTTCTCACTACAGCATCCTTGCATTAAACACATATGGATCCACCAGCAAAAAGTCAAACAGGAGGGATGGGATAGTCTTGGTAATCCTAACCGCTAGTTACATTTTATCAGAATATTACATTTAAATATCGAATAGAGCAAGCCACATTTACATCTTTACATGTAAAATTTACTCCTTGGCCTCACAGTATAAAATATAATAATAATAAAATATCAATAATGTGATGAATAATATAACAAAATATGGCTTGCTTATATTTTAATTATGAGGTCACAATTTCAAATTATTTTGTTTCAGTGAGATAATTTGTTAAATGAGGAATGAAAAAGGAGAATTGGCAACAGAACTGGTCATCTCAAAAATACATCTGCTGGTATATCAGTAGCTGATTGTACAAAGGCATGTTTGAAGTGAAGGTTTGATGATAATCTCCAACCTATGTGTTGATAAGAACTTATTTTTTATTACTGATATTATACTTACATTGCTAGTTCTATGCAATGAATCAGGGTCAGTACTGGTTAACGTTATATCATCTTCATGATCTATTTCATCATCAGCATCTGCGTCCACTGAATTGAACAAAAATCAGAAATTACATTTTTTAAAAAAATGTTTTAGATATAAATTTAATACTACGACTTCATACAAGGTACTGACTGTGTTATATATCTGAACTCCTATTCACCATAACTACATTAATTAACGAAAAAGTAAAGCGACTAAAATTCATTCAATTCTTTGACTATAATGCATTGATTATTTTGCTTTTGTTTGTTGGCTTTTTATCATTGAAAGTGGTGCATGAACTAACTGACGGGAACACGATGAAAGCAAAACTGGTTATTTTCAAGGAACAGGATGGGGGCCACAATTGTTAAGAGTCTTTGGAAGGAGAGTGTCTTGAAATCAATCAAGAAAGTCTGGGAAACCACTGTTCCAATGCATAAACTAACAGAATACATCATTGTTCCTAACTTGGGTGCTGGGAGCTGATTAGAACGGGCTGAAATCGCACTGAATTCTACAAAATCACTGTAATTTCCTAGTAATTCAATAAGGTGTTATTACTTCCTTTTATAAACTTTTGAGTTAGTTGGCTAAGAGCAGTTCAAGTATGATGATCCATGCATGGCAGCAAAAGAATTCAACAAAAAACAAAAATTCTGAATCCTAGACATGAACCATGGAAAACATAACTTAACTTACTGCCGAAGTTATCTCTGATGTCACTTTGTTCTTCAGAATTAGCACAAGCATCAAAATGTTTCTGTAATGTGTCGACTTGTCTGCACAAAATATCTCTGAATGTTTCTAATTCAGCCAATTTTTCGAATAAACCACGACCTGAAAAAAAATGTTGATAAATTATTGTGCTATAAATAAAAACAAAAAAGCGATGCTCAAATATATATGCATATCAAGGCCAAAACGAGTTTCAAATCTTTTACAGTAACGGTAGTCTGACCACCAGATCACAGAGATTTCTATTCAACATCGCCTACCAAACCTATTTCCTTCCTGTATGGAAGGGTAAGCATAGAGTTCTGAACACTAGAATGTTTTGTTTTATGAACCACTATGACAGGTAATAATTCGATTTAACAATGATAATTAGGTAAAAACATGAGATTTAGACGAAATGAAATTTTCATAGTTTGAAATATTTCCCACTTCCATCTATAGTAGCCACTTAGCTATTCACTGACATTTAGTTCACCACGTTTAAATTAGAGGATGTAAAATAAAAGGGAATTTTTTGAATGGATAGAACTAAAGGGCTGACCATACATGACATGACCTGTTGGCAGACATTCATTGAGACATGAATTGGACTTTGGAAATCAATAATTCTCGGAATAAATTGATTTTCTGATCACAAATATAGTAATAGAAATTTTGTCTTGCCTAAATTTGTTCGGAACGTCATGAATTCAGATCACGTTGACAAAAGCATGGAGCATAGTATGTATTAATATACGGTAAAACACAAATCCGATGGTAACAATTCACAAATTATTTGTATGAAGAGTTGTTCTCTAAACATGATTGCAAAATTCTCTATATAACATGGATAACAAACAAATTATTTAGTGAAGAGAACTGTTATAGCCTATTCAATTTAGTCACTCAGAGATCCCGTTACAATGTTTTTACTTGAATATTCTTCGGTGTATTATTGACTTGAATTTGTCAATCAGAATTTGCTGGCGCATAATGCATCGCCATATATCTATAATAAAGCAGGCTACTTGGTATTTGAGTGGTCTTCCGTAACATTTCTCAGAGAGATTCTTAACTTTTGAGTAAGTGCGACATGGCCTGCTATGGACATTCTCAAATAATTTAAACATACTAATTTAGTATATGATAAGATACATCTGAACCAACAGCCTCATAATAAAAGTTGAAAAGTCACTGAGAAGGCAAATTGGGATTTCATGAATATCAGTTTATCCAGAACATTTGAACGAAACTTTTTAGTAATCTTTATTCGTACCTCTTTACACTTGAAAAAAAGCTGGTAGGAATTCATAACCTTGATGATATGAGTACATTTCCCATTCAAATGTCAGATATAATTTCAAAATTGAAGAATGAAAAGTGAATATCAAAATCGGGACTATTTTTCATTTGAACAGAACTCCAAATTGCAGTCTGGAGTACCAAACTATTTTACTTCATTAATTCTCCTTGTAAATTTGTAAGATGCCATATTATGCTATATTTTAAAACACATTAATTCACAACATACTACAAAAAAATTGGAAAATTTAATCAACCTTTTCTGAATGATGAACTCGAGGTGATTGACAATCCACTGCCAAGTGACATCATGGAGCCATGGCGACGTAGACTACTTCCATCTGATCCATATCCTGATTCAGACTAAAAACAAAAAAATACTTAAGAAATGTTCAAAAACAAAAAATAATAATGTTCAATAAGGGTAGATACCTTAATAAATAAAAGTGACAAGATAGCAATGCTCAAATATATGGACACAAAGACCAAAACAAAGTAGTATTAAATCCATTACAGTACCGTGTCCAATAATTTTCAAATTACATAATTCTGTTTATGTCATAAAGAATTCTTTGAACTTGAGTAAAGAAAATCATATATTTATGGATTTTATGTATACATGCATATGACATGCAATGTAATTTTGCTGCTTCAATTTAAAATATTCACAATAAACACTGGATTTTTCAGATATGGAAATCTCTATAACAAAAATTGTTATGTCTAATCCTAGATGTCTAAAACTTTTAACCTGGTTGAAAGAAGCAAAATGCATTTGTAAAAATCATAAAATAAAAAATTTATATAAACAAAAAAGTCATGCTTAATGCAAAATAAATTGCAACATTATTTTGTTATGTAGCACCCAAGTTTTATCAAACAATTTCTTCAGTATACTGTAACAATTTACTCATAGAGCCCAGTGAAACTCATGTACGATAAAGAAAGAAAGCCATGAAATCATCATGAAATTGTAGGTCACAAATGGAGGTATGTTCAATTCAACAATCCGGTATTCTAGAATTCTGATGGCCCATATTTTCAGAAATACGATATATAGAAGACAAAAAAATTTCAAAATATAACTGTTTCGGTTTTTCACCTTTTTGATTGAACACAGCTCCCTACATAATGGCAGATTCAATAATAAACAGATATTACCGGTACTAATCATGTTAAGTATTTTATTATATCGTGTATGAGTCATAACTTGGTACTTGTTACTTCACACCCACATGCTGAATGATTTCACCATAATAAATTTAAAAATCAAGACAGTATGCAATGAATATGCAAGTTATTATAACAATATTCGGTACCGGTACTCCCGTAGTATGTGTACCAGGTTAGGCTTAGGCCGATATTTTATTCCGATTACGGGTTCGGAGACTGTTTGTACTCCCTGCCCATAGGCTTCCGTCCCTTTACACAACTTGATGTAAAGTAGGCGAACAAAATTAGTTACCTCCATATTGGTACACACACTTCTGAAGCGCCCATTATTCAATAACACAATCGCGTTATAACTGTATGAATAACTATTTCTATCCCCAAATATATAACACATACAACCTATATATAAAGGTAAATATGAATATTATATAACATGAGGAAATGAATGGACCAGATATAGAGGAAGTGTGACCTTGCCAATCAAAATATTTTCAATAAAATCAATAGCGTATGATGATTCATGATTTTGATAATAAACCTCAAGTTGAGAATGTATTAGCTAGCTAGCTATTTGATATAATCTCATGACAGATTCGGAGATGGACAAGAAATGTGAATTTATTATCGTACTGATTTGAAGGATTATGACCACAGCTTGAAAGTTGAAAATGTTGTGAAAAAAATTGCTAAAACTTTTATAAAAGAGAAATAATCATCATATTGAATAAATTTTTAGTTTCCATGGTAGAGTTTTATAATGAAGTCTCACAAATAAAATTTGAGAATTTGGTATCAAAAGGAATCAATTCGAATAGCTTTGAATGAAAAAAATAGATATGATCCTCTTATTGCTCACTCACCAATTACCATTTTGTTTTGTTTTGCTTATTTTAGGGCAGGCTTCGGATATGTTAAGTAATAGCAACAACTTCTAACTTATCATAACCCAGGTTACAGAGTATCAAAGAATACAAGATTGAAAATTAATAACAGGGCAGAACAGAAAATTTGTATAATTTTCATTTTTTCACCCGGAACAAAAAATTATATGTTATTAACTCACTAAACGCAAATAGCCTAATAAATTCATTAGGATGTCAATTTATATGCCTAGTGACCTATGAAAAGTCGGTATCTGTTAATTTTAATGACATCATTAAACATAACTTCCTGAGTAAACTGATTGATAAAGTTGCATGCCTACGCGGACGGGTATGTGGTATTCAGCGAAAATAGGATATATATAAAACTTGCACTTTGGACTATTGGTAAAAATCCACCTATTCTAGAATGGTATTAACATAGAAAAACCATGGGTCATTTATGCATATATGTGCAGTTAGCAAATAAAATTATCATCACTGTCTGATAAGGCTGTGATCTTACAAATGATAAATATTGAAATATGATTCATAAGCTACAGAGTTAAGTTACAGAGGTCAATGAATGACTCCCATCAAACATTCAAATGATTTCAGTAATTTGATAAGTAATTTAGACTTGGTTAATAGTACTAGTACCTGTTTAAAGTACTATTAATTTTGAAAATATGGTATCATGGTATTGTCATATGGTATACAAATTTGAAATAAATCAACCAATGACATAACCAGTAACCTATCAGTTCTGTAATAACCTATAACAAAGAAATGGAATTACAGAAATCTCAATCTGAGTTGTATAACAAGACCTAATTAAGAGTGAAACATTTATTGCATATCATTTTTAAAGTATAACATATGTCTCCCATGCTATTCGTGGTGAAACATACAAGGGTGTTGTCATAAATAATTGTATTTATTGATTATCTGACACAGTCAAGAATCAGAGATGGTAAATAGGTTTAGAGAATACAAGAATATAATGTTCATGGCTGCCCGGAACACTGTTTCATATTAGTATATAGGGTTTCTTTAGGGCATTCAAAATGCGTAAACACTTATATATTGACACATAGGCCAGATAAATGAAGATAACTCAAACCTTATGAAAGAAAATCAACTACTAAAATCATCATATCTGACAAGCAGTGAACGTGCTCGACTCATTAAAATAAATTATAATATTCTATTTTTCTGACGACGATTTTCTGACGATAAATTTTGAATCAATTTTATTTGAAATTTTTTAGAGAGAAGTGAATTTTAGATTCAAATAATAACAAAGGTCACTTTGTGTGATTACGATAATATGGACCAAATAAGTTTAGCCATTACATCCTTGAACATATGCACGTGACTCGTTGTCGGCAACAGTGACTCGTGTCACATGATTCAGAACAGTGCAACTAATGTATATCATAGGTTCCCGGTCCCTAAAATCAATTTAACGAATATAATATGCATAGCATATATAAGGTCATAGATATAACCAAGACCAGGTCCATTACAATGCAGATAAAGCAAATAATGAATAAAATCATTGTGACAAAACAAAAACACTGAAATATTCTGGCTGATATTGTATGTAGTCGGTGATTAAAACGCTAATTTGAATAGATTTAAAGGATTAGGCCAACTGCATATTTTAATTAACATTCGAAAGAGAAACAGGCATTACGATAGGCCTAATACTCTTTTCGTGAATAGGCTATGATATGAATGATATTAGTGTAAATCAAAAATCCCAAATTACGAAAAAAAATCAGTAACTCAATATTAAAATATTCGAATTATAAATATTAACCAAATTCTTTGAAAATCCCTAGTTTAGAATAGAAAGAAAATTTCTTAAACTTGCAATCTTTTCTTGATTCTTCTAATTAAAAAAAAGTTTGAAAATATAATAAAGTAAAATATAGTATAATTCAACATATCAATTAAACACACAGTGATGCATTACCTCATTCTACATAACATATTCATAGGGTGGTGTCAGTTTTTGCTATATCATGAACAACACTCAAAAGATTATGTACTGTGATTGTGATCATTGATATGGTATTGTGATTTTACCAAGGATTAGAGACTCAAGATATCAGCCCTACTTGAATATAACCAATGCAATAACAGCTAATGACATTTGAAGTCACCAATCCTATATAGAAGTAATTATAAGATAAGATAATTCTAAGTTTTGCAGAAATGCTGCAAATTTTTGCACAAGAATGCATCCTGTCCTTATCAAAGTTTTTATTGTCAAAATATAAACACCTGGGGGCCTGAATTCAGGCCAAACATAAGAATGTTTTACATTACGTATACAATATTTTCAAATGACCTCTATAGTTTAGGAATTTCCGTTGAAAAACAATAATTTTTTATATTGGATTTATCGATAAAAATTGATGTTTGTATTATATTTTTTGCAGAAATATTTTATCTGATAGAACATGACATTAGATAATAAATATCGAGAAACCAATTAGTAGATCCATAGATTCTGGCAGGATTTATGATAAATACCGAAACACTATGGCTCCTATATAAATTTCACAGTTTCTATTGTATTTTCACACAAATACTCCAAACATGGCTCTAAGCAAGCAAGTATTGAGGTAGAAGAATATAAAGATTCAAAATGATTAAAAACTTTCAATTTTATGATACTGAAACAATTTGATAATAGATTTGTGATAAACCTTTCCACAAAATCCTATAAACAAAACAAGATAATTAATTTGGTCTTCGTTTTTAGAATGTCAACATAGTCCAAAAGTCAAACTAAAGATTACAATAGAAGCTTTTTGTACAAATCCTGGTCAGTTATTAGAAAACCACCCTCAGGCATGCTCGTCTTTATTAGCTAAAGAATAGATAGACATCTACAGTCTATCTTAGGAGAAAAAGAAATTAAAAATTGGATTTACTTTGAATAATGTCACCTTATGAACATAAAGTTAAACAAGCAGAATAATAATGGTTCAATGTTATGAAGTAAAATAAAATGAAAAAATAAATAGATAAATAAAATGGGAACTTGATGCTGTTATTCAAAACAAATTAAGAGCATGACATAACTTACTCTCCACATAAGATAACCATTGTCCTAAAGAAAATTTCACAGGTTAGGTATTGATAAAAATATCAAGTACATATCATAATATTGAATAAAAGATTACAATATTTTACAAATAAGTCTCAACTGAAAATCATTTTTCAATTGTTATGGTGATTGGTAAGAAAACTTCATTCAATTTTGAATTCGTTCATTGGCAGTTGATGGTATTGAGAAATAAAAAAAGCCAATAAATAAATTTCATTTCTTAAGATTATATATTGACTTAGCATACTTTCATCTCATTCCTTTTCAAATATATTTCAATAAGTCAAACAAAAGCGCACAGACTTGTATAAACTAATGGTAATTGAAGAGGAGCTCTCAAACTATTACCAGGTTGAATGAGAAACGCAGAATTAGTAATTGGATTTACATATTCAACCTGTGAGAGAGAAAAGCCGATAGGACAGCTCAATCATATGCTAAGCATAACCACAGCCTCTAATCCGATTAACAGTCTATGTCAAGTATGGAATTAGTTTGTCATTTGTTTTCAGATGCATCGACTGGATGGTGGAGGAAGCCGTAACCGACCAGCAGTTAAGTGAACCACCCTACGACAGCAAGGAGTCCTGCAATCCTCTCGCACATAATTATCCCGACAGAATTCGAAAATGCAAACCCACTAAGTGTAATCATATGTGCGGTGGGAAGCATATTTTTTAAAGCTTAGCATGGTGTGCCACACTGCCAAGCCAAAAAATTATTTTGCAAGACGTTTGTTAAAAGACTATCAAAGTCCCTTCAAAGATAACATTTTTTGTATTTGGAAAATTGTAGAATGAAAAAATTGAAGACAAAAATAAGGTTACAACTATTGTTAGTCTACTGACATTGAGCTTTCCTTTCCTGAATAAAGACAGGAAATGGGTAAAGCTAAGGACAAAGAGTGAAAATTGATCTTGTGTACTGAAAATGCTATTTCTTTGATGAAACTAATACAGTACTATACCGAATTAACTGGCAGTACATCCCACAATCATACCAAATTCGAAGCCATAATAGTTTGCTATAGTGAAAAATTTTATTTAAATCACTGCTTCCTCTAATTTCAATTTCATGCAATTTTGGTTCATTCATTATTCAGTACTGCACTGCATTTTATTTTAACATATATACACAGCAATATCATATTTTCTAATATGTGTGATCTATGCTTATTCATTTATTACATGATTGAACAAGAATTACGGATAAACAAAGTGTTAATAGATACAAAATTGAGTCGCACTAAATTTGCATATAATGTCAGAATTTTAATTATTTTTTTTTAAAAAAATAAATAAACAACATCAGATTATAAAATATGAACTTATTCAGATAATCAAATACCTTATTCGCTTCAATGGTTTCAATCCATTGTTGTCTTGTTGTTTCATCAGGTGCTCTCATATACCAAACACTGTCGTTTATTGCAACATCGAACCGGCATTTATCAAATTCATGACACTGTGAAAGAATTAAGGACACAAATTTAGATATGAACATTAACACACAGTTCAGCCCATAATTAAATATTCAGAAAGGTATTATGGATCATTATAATATCACGAATACATATGACATCAAATTCGGCACAGTCTACCTAGGGTTCATAGTAGACTAGGAATTATTTACCAATAGAATACTGAATATGTCCGACAAACAATTCAATTCAAAATATAAAGGATCAATTAAAAATATACTGTGTAGGGCAGAATAATACTGAGTGTATCAAATAAAGGTGAAGAATATTTTAAAAAAAATTCATTTTGTTGAATACATTTACGGAATGTTAAAGCATTGAAATAATTTTAAAATTGAATGCAAGTACACAACAAAACAAGAGAGCTACGCCCAAATATATGGACACGTCTGTTCGCAGTACAGTACGGTTTACCGTACCGTCATGGTCAGATCACAGTCTACAAATATATTCACACCAATCGAAGCAGTACAGTAGGACACAAAATGTCGTCCGATGTCCGCAGAACGTTTAATGACGTCATAGCAAACAAAAACAAATCTCACAGAGCTAACAGAAATATTTAAAATGAATAAGAGTAATAGCCTTCTGGGGAAAAATTTTATCTTCAACCCCTGAAAATTTCAAGCAATTGGTCCAGTATTCTAAGAGAAAAGCGTTTTTTTAATATTTCCACTAGGTGTGTTATACTGTGTCAAACAACAAGAACAATAAAAACAACATAATATTGTAACGATCGTTGAGTCCACTACGTGTCCAATAAAGAACAATACAGAATGTCAAACAGAGAATAGAAGATTTTCATCTCGAATATAACAAATACCAGAAGATGGAATCTATTAATGGAATCTTAACCAGGCTTAAAGTACTTTTATTTTCGGTACATCGCCAGTAACCCTGGCCTCCCCAACGCAGGAGGGCTAAAACAGTATTTAAAAAATAAATACAAATGATATTTAACCTAAATAGGAAATGAATTGAACATATCATAAAAGTAACGCATGCCAATATAAAGTAAATAATGCGGCTTATCTAACTGGCCCAGCCCCCTAAAGAAATAGGAAATAAATGTTGGATGCTCGTCGAGTGGCTTGTGATCTGGCGAATATATATATTTCGCCATGAATATCATGCCATTAAAAAGTAAACATAATGAGAAAACTTCAAAGTCTGAAATGGTAGGGTAGAGAAGCAGTAAAAGTAATAACATCTGCTAGTTACATTGATACAAGACTCTCTAACACCCAGATGTCTGGCACTAACAATGCAATACACAAAATCACATCCTATTATCAAAATCACAGCACAGAATAAGTAATTAGGAAAATGTTGAATAATTTAAACGTCTGTGAAACTTGTATGTGACATGCATTGCATCATTCTGTGCCAACTGTTTATACATTTTGAATGAGTATGTTTGACAAGCTAAATTGGTGGATTGCAAAATTTTGATTTGTGAATTATATAGCTATTATGACCTAGAGCAGGGCTTTTTCATGCTGCAAGTCTAGACCTCTCGGTGAGTTGCTATAGGGCTCAATAGAGTAGGCGGTAAAATCTTTTTTGACACCAACTTATGTTGAGACAGACCCCCCCAGTTGAGACAGAAAATATCGATCAAATTTTAAGATTTGGAACTAGAACTAAGACAACCTATCGGTGAAATTGAGCTATTATTCAATGTTTTGTGTGAAAAAGTGCAAGCACATCTGTCTTATTAAAAGTATTGTCAATTTTAATCATTTTTCAATATTTTCTGCATCATTAAATTATACTTTATTTTAATTTTATTTTCTGAGTGGGCGAAAACATTTGATTGTGCCTATTTGATTGTGTCAAAGAACACTGATATAAAGGGTTATGCCAAGAAAAGTGATAAGGTAACATAAACATGACGAACATTTACCAATATTTAAACATATAGTGTTGTTGTACAGCAGTAATGCTTTATGTTAGCTGACCATATCAATTATCTATTGTCATGAACTTTTGTTCAAACACATTTCTCCCAAAGGTCAGGGTAGATATTCAATCATATAGAATAAACATTCTATACTGAAGTGGAAATCATTGCACTGCCTTCAAACCATAATTATATCGACCCAAAAATGAACAATGCACTATCAGTCATATCATTTTATTTATAATAATTGATATTAACATAAAAAAAAATCTAAGAATATGTTACCGAAACGGCTGCTTTGGCTAAACTCATAGATCCTCTACATCCATATTCTGTTTCATTCGCTGATCTGTAATAACTCAACGTTCCATCTCCACATGTTACATATCTGGAACAAAAATTATATTGAAAAAAAATAAACAAAAATATTTGATTAATGAACAACTGCTAAAACTGATTCCTCCACCATCAAGCCAGCAAGTCGATGCATCTGAATTATATAACAGGCTAACTTATCCTGGGTCTCGTGAAGCAAATGGCGTTAACTGTTTAAATACCTCTAAACACAATTGTGGTGTGAAAAGAATACTGCAAGTGCTTAAATAACACCAAAAAAAATGTGGTCTGGAAATACAAAACAAATTTTCATTTTTTTCTAACATTTTTTCTAGTCCGTCTTGCATGAACAAAATACGCTAAACGCATAGGACATAGAGGACTCGGACAACTCGACTCACAAGAGGACAGGTGAGTCGTCCACCTTTTCTATGATTGTAAGACAACGTTTCAAAACAATATGGGTGTGAGTTCGATCTCTTTACGTTTGAATTTCACATCACATCCTTAAGCAGTTACAGAGCTGTGCGTATACTTCACTAAACCTCATACTGTTTTATCCCATAGCCGACTGAAGAGTGTTGAATTGAATGATCAATTGAATGATCACGACACCTAGGCCTATTTTATTTTTTCAATTAACGGACTTAATAATAACTGTAATAAACCCAAAGTCCAGAAGTCTGAAAGTGATGGCAAACTGGCTATGACACCCCGAATTCTGAAATATTTTTACCTGTCTTGCCATCCATGTATGTAATTTGTCCATTTAGATAAAATTCCTTTGAAAGACGGTAAATCCGTTGAATGAGAAACAAACTCATCCTCCTCTTCTGACGCGTTTAAACTAGGGTGGCTATCCGACATTATTATTCAACTAGAACAAAAGTAGTTACATATTCAAGTAAAATATAGAAAATAACATCATCGGGAATCATCCTCTAGCATTATTTATAAACTTTAAAGCAGCGCTACATCACTAAGAACATAATAACTAGCATAACCACAGATATAAACAAAAGCGAGAGAGCGACAAACACCCGCTTGGGCGAGTCCGCTGAATGTCGGCATCATAGATTCATACTCAAAGCTCAAAGTCAGTTCATAGTAACTTGCACTCTAGCGCTATTTTGTGAGTTGTGAATTGTGACATTAACTTATCATCATTTTTTCAGCAAGTTTGATGTGAAGTGAACAGAGACAATGCATAACAATGCATGTTTATGATGTGAATGTTTCTCTCAGCAAAAAAATGGTTTTATCTAGCTGGCCCTGCTCGCATGTTGCCAGCATCATACTGTCGCAGTTCTGACAAGCTGAAAACACGAATCGGTATGTGAATATCCCCAACTTTAACAAAATTTGGGATGAGCACACATTTGTTTTTCACATTCCCAAAATGTACTATTTGTTGACCGTTAACTACAAGAGGAATTTTGGGGTTACAACAGAAAGTCCCAAGTTTCCCGACAGACTTCGTGACAAGCATATTCAGATATTGAATGTGGCAACTCGACACCTTATTAACCATTATTCGCTGTACTGTATAATTAAGTTGGCAGTTTAACACGTATATCATGTTATTTTCAGAATAGCAATCTTTCATTTTAGTTAGGCTTACCATACGTACCGTTTTAGGCGGAACAGTCACACTTTTCAACATCTTGTCCCGGCGTCCCAACAAAAAAAGCCAAAAGTAGCCTATCGCTTTGGCGTCCAGCCAGTAAGCGTATTGCAAGAACATTACCAATTAGCACAGGGTGGTCCAAGGTTGCAGGGCCGCAAAAACTTTTGAGGTCTCGCTGGTCGCAGTAAGAGAAAACCCCAAAATGATCAAAAAAATCACGGGTTTACTCACTTTAAATATATTTAAGAATGAGAGTTTACCGTTCTAATCAGTTTTTATAGGAAACTATATAAAACACTTACTTATTTCAAAATTGCTTCCCGAGAAATATCATGGTATTTTCGGTATCTTTTCTCGTGTTTGGTTTTGTAATGTCGCTTAAATTATAACACACCAGACACTGTGGGTAAGAAAAGACATTTGCTCTCAGTTTAGTTTCGGTCACCTTTTTACTGCATTCATTGTATGACAAATTGTTATATTTAAAAATATTTATTTCTTGTAGCGTGAGCAGGTTTAGTGTTACCGTCGAAAAACAACAAAGTCCGTATGAGTTGGGAGTTTGGGACCTCATACACAGATAAAAAAAAAATGGATAGCGCGGCGCAAAGTCAGCTCCCGCTTTTTTCAAACGCGTTTGGAGTCAGAATTTCCGTTTGGCTTTTTGGCGTTTTTTCAAGTCTATTCTAGTGTCTATTATTAAAATCATATGAAATACAATATTTAGTGTTCAACAACTAAACAATAGTCTATTACCTGTACTTAGCTACTTAACATCAGGCTTTCCTGGAGCATCGATTCCCTTGTTTGTTACAGTAACTCTTAATCCTACCCAATAAGAAATAATTGCAGTTTCTGCAGCTGCTCAGACAGATGTTCAAGCGGGGTTGTAAACATTGCCTGGTTTTTATAGTTTTGCGTGTTATTTGTCAGTTTTTTTCCAAAAAGTAATTGTATAACTCAATTTTCATTATGCCTGATATAGTTTATGTGAGCTCTAGTTTAATTCTGCAATTGCAGTAATCAAAATTTAGTCTCGCGAACGATGTGATTAACTACGCTAAAATTACTGAATTAGATATCAGTGGTCCACCTGTTAGCGGCACGGCGTTAGATAATTTTTTAATAAAATTGATGGTTTATAAATTTAAAAAGTTAAATTTTTTCTATAGTAAGATACAATATAGAGAGAATTTTTTAAGGTATATTGCAAGTTTAAGTAGAAACATGTAGGTATATTACATGCTTAAGCGGCACCCTGTTTTGTATATTGAATGGTAAAATAATTCTGTCCACTTGATATTTATTGCACCTTCTACAGTTCTATAGGAACTTTACTTTCTATTTGTGTGCCTCACTGAATGACATGATGGCTTTACGTCTTCATCATCTTCATCATCATCATCAGTACGTTGCCAAGGGCTTAAAATCTGACTAATCATGGGGCTTTTGTACTTGGTAAAATTGTTGGCTTTTTTTGTGTCTTGATTTGGCTTTTTTTGATCGCTGGGATCTGGCAACCCTGATGAGGAGTCACTTGAGCTCATCGGCTTGGTCCTGTCCGCACAAGACAATTCCTCCTCTATTTACCGTTCATAGGCCGTCATTCCCATATAGGCATCATCTTGACGTTCATGGATACAACTATTAAAATGATGTGATTTTAACAAACCTCAATCTCGACATCAGGATTAGGAAAAGGACTATTCCCAGTCGGAATAGTTTGAAAATCAAAATTGTTCTGCAAATAAATACAAATATCTACCGATGGTTTAGTAGTGTACGCTAAAATTGTATTGCGGACCGGCGCTGGCCCGTGGACCGCAGTTTGACCACCCTGAAATAGCATGTTCTCGATACTGTTGTTGCTGTATGGCGTACCGGTAGTCTACTTACTGAATGTGAATGCGTGGTTTTGTTTGCCTCGTTACATTGTTAGCGGATAATTGCTACAGTTTGTTACGCGTAAGCCCTGTACGCCAAAATGGTGCTTAACGCTAACGTAAATTCTTTTCTATTTTTTGAACTGGAACAGATAATTAGACATACAGCGCATGAACTCTCGACAATATGATCAACGAAGCCAGCTGGGATGGTTTTAAATGTTGGCCCCTAATCTAAAATCGGTGAAATTTAGAGTTGAAAAAAAATCACAGCTTTGGTCTTTGGAGGCGTCCCACTTTGAGGTCACAAAAATATGGTAACCCTAATTTTAGTAATCGGAATTATAATCTCGACTTACATTATGACAAGACATTTTAATTTTAAATGCTCGCATCGACCATGGATTGAATATTTTGAGTGTAACTTATACCAGTAACTTGGAAAACCGGACACACAGGATTGAATAAAGACATACAGACAAGCTAGCTTGTGTATATCTTTTATACATTGGAGCTTCTTTGAAAAGATTTGCGTTGATCATTTGTATCAAGTGATTGAATCTGAGGGACTTCGAGGAAACAGAAATAATCGACTTAGCTGTCGGCACTGAAATGGTCGGTAAATTCATGCGAGAGAAATAATTCATAGGAACAATCGATGCTCAAGACAGCAGGATGGAAGCACCGCAATGTTGGACGTTGCAAAGACTAAAATCATTTACTCCAATTTCTACGAATTCGAACCATTTTTGTAACATTAGAAGCAACGCCCGAAACTAGTTTTCGTGTATTTATGTTTGTTGTTTACTTTTTAGCTTAATTTGTTTACAAAAAAACAGCAGCTAATCAATTAATTGATATTATTGGTATTCGCATTCCGGCACAGGCACCGTCACGTAACTTCTAAATGTTTTTGTATTGTTCACGACTTTCACTCATCAAAATTATTTACATTACAAGTAGGCTTCGCCCGTGAAATTTATTTTCTCGCGATCATGTACTCTGTTCATTAATTTAGTCTGGTGTGATTGTCGTGTTTTCACTTGTGTGGGTGAATGGGCACAGGCGCTGGTTACAGCGTTCGTTATAAACCTTTATATAGGTTTTGCCCATTTTCCCGATCTTAGGATAGGATTTACATATTTATCCCGGGGGAGAGGAAAGCCGATAAGACGGCTTATTCATATGGCGAACCACGGCCTCTCGTCCGGTTACCATTCCAAGTCGGGTATGGGATTAGTTATATTGTTTGTTTTCGGAAGCATGGACTTGGTGGTGGAGGAAGCCGTAACCGACCAGCGGTTACGTGAACCACCCAACGACGGCGATGAGTCCAGCAATCCTCTCGCACATAACCATCCCTGCATGGGATTCGAACCTGCGAACCCACGCAGAGTAATTAGAGGTGCGGTGGCGAGCGTATTCCTAACGCTTAGCCCGTTGAGCCACACCGCCGCGCCTTTCAGTTTCTTTCTTTGATCTTTCAGTTGCCTTTGTGTGTTTTTTTACTTGTGTTGTAGACGAAAGATCGAAATAAAATTGTATAAGGATAGTATCATGTGAAACAACCAATTGAATAACACACAATTGAATACTATTCTTCAGTATTTTCCTTTATATACAGATTTGAAAATGAAAATAAAGTACTGTAGTACATACAGAATAGATCAAGTAACTGGGAGGCCAAACACTACAAATATAATTTCGATCCAGTCATACATCATGAACAAATTAGGATATGGAAAGACATTCAACAGTTAGTTTGTAAATCGAAAAAAATGACAAAAACAATGCAATGGAAAGCATTCAATAAATGAGACTGAATTGCACTGAGAGATAATACAGAAAACCTGATTTTACATGAATTCAAATTCAAAGAGGGTACAGAAAAGCAAATTAAAGATAATTAATCTAAGCTCTTTTGATGTGAGCAAAATACCATGAAATAGGTTGAAATTTCATTGGTCAGAAGGCGGGTGGAGCAACAAACAATCACCTGGGGAGAAAACGTTTTTTTAATAGAAACCAATGTATGAGATAGTTATTTGATAAAACTATAAATATTGCAGCAAATGAGATTTGTTTTGATAAAAATGGTATTGATGAAGAAGGTATAAATGAAAACAGGTATATGCAAATGCAATACACATTTTACTTTCAAATATCAATATAAGGAACAATTAATTCAGGTCACACAAATTAAGTAGCAATAAACTGCTAATGATTGTAAGTCAAAAAATAAAATGTTGACAACCGACAAAATAGTACATTCTGTACCACAGGTTATGGAGTGAAGAAAATATTTATAAAATAAGAATAGATTGAAAAAATTTCTGATAAAATATGCTTTTTCAAATAGCCAAGTTATTTTGTGGCCTTTAGTGCATGACATTTGTATGCTGACAATGCTAAAAAGTAAAAGCTTATTCAACATCTAACACCAGAAAATATTATATACCGGTACATCTAAAATTCATAATCCATATAAATTTTCAGTAATACAAACACTCATTAAACACAAGAGTAACAGTTTATAATACAAAAATCAGTTTGTTAGAGGAATATCTTCAATGGCATAATATTTCTGTTGAATTGATTGTTGTGATACTTTGACAACACTTAATCCTGATTTGTCTTTTCCAAGTTGTGCTCCGATTGCCGAAGTAACAACACACTCAATCTGCAGACACGGTGATAGCAGTTAGGTATTTTTGAAAAGTATGAACTTTCTAACATATTCAGTTAACAACTAGTCTTATGCCCTAAAAAAATGGATCAGGAATGCATCTCACAAGACTATTTAATTTGACCCTAGCCAGTGTCTTATGACAATTGTCGGCAGAGCAAAATATGGTGCCAAAACATTTACTACACAAAAGTACTCACTAACGATGGCCAGAAAATTAGTGTAGATTCTCTTCTATATATTAATTTAACCTCAATAGCCATTATATTAGCTAATGAAGCAAAATTTATTTTCTGCCAGTAATGTTGAAAAACTGTTTTTGGACAACCATACAATACAGATTTTACCTCATGTTTAGATAGAAGCGACATTCATGAAAAAATTTTTTGAATGAATCCAATAATACAAAGAAAACTATGAGAGGCTCCAATTTATCTACCTGTTTCATTTTTCCATCGATCTCTTTTTTCCAAAATCCTCCTGCGTTTCTGTGATAGTGGCCAGAGAATACAATGCTTACACCTGCATCAGCAAATTTCTCTAATAAAGTTGATCTTAATGGTTGTGGTATGCTGAAGTATTGATTCTTCTCATCAGGATCAGAGATAAATAGTGGAATGTGCATGAAGACAACAGTGTGAGTTATATCTTGGTTAGATTTCGCTCTGGAAACAAAATAATTGTTAATAGAGTATAAAACAGGGGTTCTTCCACTTCCATGATCTGTGGTGCCCTTTTACGGCCCCCTTAAAATACTGCTTTGCTTTCAACATGTTTCAATCAGTTATTATATGTGACGTTATTATATTAAATAGTTTACAATCAGATGTTAAGAAATAAAAAATTTTCCTGGTTCTACATCGCCTACCCAATTTAGTACACCCCACAAGAGGTAGTGTAGTGGGTATGGGGTTTGAATCATACATATGCGACCTGCGACATCAACATTGTCCATAGGTCAGGTCTATACAAGTTTCCCAAACACTAGACCAGTGGTTGTCAACCACTGGGCCGCGGCCCATTGCCGGTCCGCAGTGAGGTGACACAAAACGGACTAGGGCTTAATAACACCTCTACAATCTAACCACTAACCCTACGACTAAGAAAACATCACCCAACAGCAAACCAGACAAACACAACACATTGGGTATTTATTGCTAAACGAACATCAAGCAATACCCAGATATAGATACAGGCATTGTTACTTTCACAACATCGTTTTTTTTAGGCCGGGTTTTCAATATTGACAACTACAAAAACAAAATATCGAAGTAGGCTGGTGGTAAGAAACGCGTTACGTGTATCACTGTCAACTATATCTCCGAATTGGAAACTGTTAATGACCACTAAACAAATTGAGATCTGACACAGCATCACCTTTTTTGAATATATTGTCAACGTAAATTTTCACACGCGTGTACTATATTACATAAGCTTAGTCCATTTGTATAAAGGTGGTCCGCCAAAGTTTTGATCAGGATGTACCAGTTCGTCACTTAAAACGGTTGCTTACCACTGCACTAGACCACTTCATAATAAAATCTTACATATTAGTATAAAGATTCCAACGTATACACGTAACACAAACCAAACTTCACTTACTCTTGCAATTGCTCATCCAACCATATCATTTGTTCGTTAGCAAGTTGTGGTAATTCGTCAGGTTCATAAAAATATTGACTGTTTAATGCAATATAAAATACACCTCCTGCATAGAAACTATAAAAATCATCGCCATATTGCTCTGTGTACTGTTCAATTGAAGAAGTTGTAGGTTTGTTTCCGATGTCATGATTTCCACTTATCACAAATATTGGAATTTCACACTCGGATAAAATTTTGATCATATCTTTAGTCTGTTCTGAGTTAGTCGGTTCAACACCTGGTTGAAAATATAACAAAAATAAGACAAAAGTTTTTTACTACAAAGAAATATCGGCGCTCCAGAAGCGTGTGTACCCAAATATGGAGGTAACTAATTTTGTTCGCCTACTTTACATAAAGTTGTGTAAAGAGACTGAATCCTATGGGCAGGGGGTATATTCACTTGGCTAACACAGACAGTCCCCGTACCTGAAATGGAACTAAAATGAGGAAAATCAGAATAATTTGTGTCTTTCCCCCAACCTGGTACACACACCATGGAAGTACCGAAATATCAGAGAGAGTACGCTGCTTAATTATTGGAAGCTGATTAAGAACATGCCCAACTGTACTATCTATCATATTACTAATTATCTCAGATAGACGTTTAATTCCTATCTATGTTGAATCCTCATGTAAGAGTGGTTTATGGAGTTACTTCCATTAAAAAAAGGTTCACATAGTACTAAAAGTGTTATTTATTTAATGCTGGGGATTGTCGGCATACCCGGATATGCGTCGATCAGATCACCACATATGAAGAAAAATTTAGGTCTTGGTGACATGTTATTGATCGCTGATATTGCATCTTTGAGAAGCTTGATCTCTGTATCCCATTTCTTGCCTAAATAAAAACATATTGCGGTGATCACTGGCAAACTAAAAAATAAACCTATTTTTTGAGCAATCAAGGATCATGTGGATTTTGTTTACTAAAAGAACCTAACTGAATGAATTATTCACTGCATTATACCAAGAAGAATATGAATTACGGTAAGTTGTATACTATGGCACATTCAGAAATAAGCATATGGTTCTATCTTCTATGGTACAACAACACTAGCAGAGGCAAGCCTTTTATTTCTTATATCGATTAATTTTTAATTTATCAAAAGAAGAGACATAGAAAGCATTGTATACCCAAATAAATTCGTTGAAGAGGTCACGTCAGAATTCATATTCTAGAATATGCATAGACACGGGAAAAGTAAAACAACTGGCAAATTACATCAGCTAATGTATTGACCCATACAACCTTATCCAAAAAGAAAATTAAGAAAAAAAAAAGGATTATTGAAAAAATTACCTCCTCCACCTTTAATGAGATCTATAAATCCAAACTGTGGATCTGATCCATGTATGAACGTATATGATCCACACCATGAATCTTCGCTACCTGGAAAATTGTACATAACAATAGCAAACTGTCAATATACTATAGATTAGCAAAGTTTAAACCATAATGATTTGTATGAATACCAAAAAAGCTTCAGTGGTCAAATAGCAATAAAACAATATTCAATCACTTAAAATAGCTTACATATTATTAAAATGATTGTAAAATCTCACCTTTCGTGTACCCAGGTATCTGACGATTTACAGCCTTTATCAGCATTCTTCATTTGATACAATCAGTTTACTAATTTAGTTTAGTACAGTTTTGCCAGTACAATTTATTACAATATTTGGTGTTAAGTCTTATTGGATAACTAATTTTTTCAATAAGTTAAAGATTCAGACAGAATAAATTACTCATAAGCAAAACATTGAGTGAATTTCAGAATACCAGACTTATGGCCCCAGCCCCTACACCACATTTATTTTTTAGTAATGTGCTCATATCTAGTCGAGTCATCTCCTGTGACTTGATACCACTGTCGTTATAATATAGGTTCTCCAATTTTCAGTTTATTTCTCCCATCATAGTTATTATTAAGTAGCCGCTATATTATTATTAAATCTAGACAAAATGGTAACAACAAAGAAATTAATCATGAATTTCAAAGTTTGATGTAAAGTTCGGTGGCGATATTCAATATATCAAGATAAAAACACATTGGATTGAAAATGAAATTCCAAAATAATTTGACCAATATTTTCAAGACTAGTGACTTAACAATCAAGCAGCCAAGTATACAGAATTATTTCCATGGATTGCAAATGATATAATAAACTGTATAATAATCTAAATTTTAGGAATAGGACTGTACAACGCCCAGAAAAAATGCGGATCGAGATTTGAATGCAGATATGTTTGAAGAAAAATGAAAATTCAAGCTGATGTAAAATTAGTTATAATTTACAACAAAGTATTCTTTATTTCAGAATATTTCCATCTAGAGAATTGTCATCTTGATGCCCCAAGTAGGTGATCAAGAATGGACACCAGTTTTTGGATACGTTAGGGAAATAGCTTCATTTTCCATTTACCATATACAAATTTATTATGCTCGAGTCATAATCAGTATTTAAAGAATTTATAGATATAAGAAATGTGATATAGTGCAACAATACCATGTTATAAATCGAATTTTGTTATATAATTTTCAATACTAAGTATAGAATGTAACATCGATGTTGTAATGGCAAAATAACTACTAGCGACTACTAGTATAATCACCCTGTTTGTGTGTCATTTAATAAAACAGTAAAATTGGTACCATTAAATATGCCTATTGTAAATTGTACAAGTACAATGCAACAGAGGACCATGATGCATACCAATACTTTTTCCAAGGCCAAGGCCAAAGTTACAAAGACCATCACCCAACAGAACAGTTCAAAAGTTGCTATGATTGAGTAGACTAAGCAGCGGTAGTGGACATCAGAGAACTCAAATTCAATTTAAATTCAACTAATATGGTTCTCACTAGTGAGAACAATACAACATTAATAAAACACAGATTGTCTTAAACCAATTTTGAACTTGTATGCAGATGAAATTAGGATACCTAGGTGTGTATCACACATACGATCAAAGGGGCCTATCAACAATGCACATGCATGGAATGAGGTAATAAGGTAACTCTGCTTCAAACAGTCAGCCCGAACCTTTCAGCCCTCTTTTTCTTTTTATCAACATCTTCACCTGTTATTGTACCAGATGTTTCAATACCAAACCTAGCTTGTCGTTTCCTCCGTTTTTCATCTTCTTCATTAGTACTTAAGGTACTGGAGACGGCACCCCCAAACCTTTCGGCCCGTTTTTTGAGTTTATCAGGGTCCGCACCAGGTGTAGTACCTATCCCTTTACCTGTTCCGAATCTTTCGGATCGTGCAGCTTTTCTTGCGTCAGCGTTCATGTCAGATACGGTGACACCAAATTTTTGTGCACGAATTTTCAGTTTATCAGCATCAGATAAGCCAGTTGGAGAATGCAAGTCTTTAATATTTTCAGTTAATGAATCCTCCTCTTCCTCTATCTTTTTGTCATTTTCAGTTTCAACGCTCTCAGTGTCATTCGGCACTTTTTCTTTAGTTTGTTCAAGAGGAGCTGATAAAACAGAATCCTCTAGTTTTTGATCATCTATTAATGATTCTTCTTCATCCTCTTTTAATATCTCATCATCCGCAACCTCTGCACCTTCATGTTCCTCCAAGTATTGTTGAAGTCGTTCAATTAGGTCGTGTTTATTGCCTCCAGTCTTCAACCCTCTCAACTGTAATTCCTTCTTTAACTCGGGAATTCTCATTTTACTGAGATCAATCACAACTTCATCTTCTGATGCCATTTTTATTATAGTTTTATTGCTTACGGTAGTTGAAATGATACTGCAAATGAAAGCAATGGTCATTATCCAAAGGTCATTATTCAGATAATACTGCTGTACTGGGTAAATATAAATAACATAACCAGCATTGCTGCAAACAATCAATTGCAAGTGAGTTCCATTTAATGAATTTATAGAAAACAATTTATTAAATGAAAGATGTCGAATCGATATTTTCAGATTTTAGAGCAGGGGTCTCCAACACGCGACCCGCAAAGCATTTTTTGCGGCCCGCGTTGTGAGATATTTCCAGAAAAAAAAACAAAATAGTATAATGTCAACTATGAGTTTTATCGTGTTATTTAACATCAAGAGTCCGGTACAATAAACTGTTAAAAGTAAAACAAACATATCAGCCGTTATTCCACTTTACCACGTTCATACTTTATTCTATTGTAATTAATAAATTAGTTAGTTATATATTGTAATTATTATAGTTAGTTAGTAAATTAGTTATCATTATCCTTGCGACATGGCTTGAACATCTGGAAATTTTTTCATCTTCATGCACAAACTTTTCCATCTATGTTGCGTGACACAAATAATCACCATTCGAAGTTATATATTTCAGTACTTAGTGGCATAGTGATTGGTCACAGCATTTAATGCAATTAAAACAGATAAATAATTCGATTGATGAAAAAATTATATGCATGTGCCATGAAATCAATCATATCACTGTAATTTATTCCAAATTTGGCATGAATTTATTGACGTAAATATAGTGAAATGAATATGTAAATATTATCTTATAATGATCCTAAGTACTGCTGTCAACCTGTCCAGAGCTGTGGGCAGTTCATTGAAAAATAACAAGGTCTGACTGTCTGAGAAGGTGCAAGACAAAAATCAGCAAACAGCTAGCTCAACTTACAGACTTAGCCTAGTTGTTGAACTAGTCTGCAATTTAGATCTAGGGTCGAAATCAAATTCCCTTGTACATCAATAAACATTTTATAATTTCAGAAAATAGCTTGAATTAATCAGATTGACATTGCAAATTCAGAAATAATAAACTTCAATAAGACTATCTGGGAATGGATTTTCTATATATTATTCCCCACTCACACTGTATTAACTTAGGCAATCTACATCTCAGCATATTGCATAAGATTGTAAAAACAAAAATATCAAGGGAATGATGTATTCACCAAACCAGCGACACACTGAGGTAAGTCAAAGTGCTCAACCAGTCGGCGCGGCGGTGTGGCTCAACGGGCTAAGCGTTAGGAATACGCTCGCCACCGCACCTCTAATTACTCTGCGTGGGTTCGCAGGTTCGAATCCCATGTAGGGATGGTTATGTGCGAGAGGATTGCTGGACTCCTCGCCGTCGTTGGGTGGTTCACGTAACCGCTGGTCGGTTACGGCTTCCTCCACCACCAAGTCCATGCTTCCGAAAACAAAACAATACAGTAAAAACTAATCCCATACCCGACTTGGAATGGTAACCGGACGAGAGGCCGTGGTTCGCCATATGGATAAGCCGTCTTATCGGCTTTCCTCTCCCCCGGGATAAATATGTAAATCCTATCCTGTAAATCCTATCCAGTCGATGCTAAACGACCCACAGACTTTTCAGACCACGAGGTGGCATAAGACGGTTTGAGTTCTGAGTTTGATTTTCATTTGCCTCGGGATTTGTTTGCCCTTCTTGGTGACAATGAAGGTTAGAGATTAATATATACTACTGGTATCAGACAGTTGCAGTCAAGCTAGAATAAAGACGCCCCCAAAGCCCAAGGTTTAAGTAAAATATGTTTCATGTTTTAAATAGCGCTAGCAATTTGATACGCGTAATATGACGTCCCATTTTCAGTTGCTATGACATTTACTACAGTCATGAGCCTCTTTAATTGCATTTAAATTAAATTCATTACGGGTACCTAAGACACTTGCTCGATTTGCACACGTATCACACCTGTAATAAATAAATTCCCATAATTCAAGTAAAGATTGACTTTTTGTATGACGTCGCCAACACTATTTCTTCCTTTTTACAATTTTATATTGTCACAATCCAATCCAATTTTCATACAGATGTCAGCTTAATTGTATTGTGTCGAATGTAGATTCTGGTGCTGCCATTTAAATAATCTTTTTTATTCTTAAACCCCACATCCCGCTGAAGTGGAAATCGCCATGATAGCAACCGAAAATACAACTTTCAATGGGAAAAGACATTTATGTGGCTCACCAAATGACCTGGTGGCTCTACGTCAGCCTATTGCAAACCCATTATTGTGCTAAGGGCATCAAATCAGACAAATCATAGGGCTTTTGTACTTAGTAGAATTGTTAGCTTTTTTCGTCTTGATTTGTCTTTTTCCGATCACTGGGATCTGGCAACGCTGTAGTCTCACTGCCCTGTTTTGGCGGTAGTTGTTGGTTATTGTTCGCAGGTCTAGCAGTTTTATGTGTTATATTAGTTAGGTTTACGTCCAGTTGTAGGGATAATTAATTGCCCGTTCTACAGGCTTATGTTATTGGTACATATAACTGCTGTAACTTTTATTGTGGACTTTTAAGTAAGCTAGAAATAGACTATAATCTGATTGATTCCTGAACCGAAATTGACGTTGTTTCTGTATATTTTAAAGCAGTGTTTCCCAACCCGAGTCCGCGGTCTCAAATGAGTCCGCGGAGCGTTTGAATGAGTCCACAACGGGCCAGAAATTCACTGCGGGCCGCAAACGTTTTTGCGAGACCTAACTATCAGCCAAGTTATGATTTATGTTAGAATTTACATAAAACATAAAAAAATAAGTTTATTCATATCACTTAATCCAGTCAATAATTACTGGTTACTGAGTAGGGCTTGGCATATATATATTCGAATATTCAACTATTAGAATAGCAATTTTCTATTCAAAAATTCGGCAACAGGTGGCGTGACAGGTCACCTGCGCGTCGCCTAACCAAACAATTGCGAATTTTCTACGAAAACACCAGTCGGCACGCGCGTCGATAGATACGTAAGTATTGTTTCTCGCGAGTGCGAACAACCAGGAATAATTTTTTTTCTGGTAGGTGTCAATGGTGGCAACCCAAATTTTCTAAATTGAAAAGCGGCAATACAAACTACTATAAATAACACGGAGAACACCATAAGTTTTGTTTTATGATAGTCCGCAACCGATTAAAAACACTTTTTTACATTGCAAATCGCAAAATTTCCGGTGCCACCATAGTATACGTACAAGGGCATTCTCCCTTAGGATACTTTGCTTTACTGCCTCCACATTGGTATGTAGGCTACAGTACTGGAGCGCCGTAAGTTTTGTTTCAGATTTGTCGAATTCACAAGATCGCAAAAATTATGTATCAAAACTAAATATAATCGGGTAACATATTCTCACATTAGTATATTCGCAGATTGCCGTGGAATTTTAATGTATAATGGCCTTTTCTGTCGCACAATATCCAATCCATGACAACTACGAGAATTTAAAATGTTTTTCTATTTTAATTTAATCGTGTTCATGGTTACACGCGGTTGCGTCCACTTACGAAAAGATGAAAGCATTTTAGGGATAAATTCGTTATTTTAGTTAAAATTCATAGAAAGGTTTCAATTGGATATTTGGGAGTAAGGTATTGAAGAAAGGAATGTGTTGAAAGGTCTGGTATTAGTAGTCGTCTTGATAAGTGTCGTCTCGTCTCTCGATGTTCTAATGTTGTCTTCATCGTTTGCTCTCCGTGTCTGTCCACAACCTTAAACTCATCTACAACGTCAAAACGTGTTTTTATTGGCTAAAATGGTGACGACGTGTTCTTTAATGGCTAAGGCATTACTTCTTTAAAAAATTCGGCCATTTTAACGAACGCTCAATTGCGGCAAATTTCCGATTATGAAATTCGTTAAAATTCCGTTGTGTTTGGTTTTATTGCTTCTTCACACAGAGTACGGTTGCAAGAAATGCACCTTGAGTCCGCAAAGGTTTTCGCTAATGAGAAATAAGTCCGCGACCAAAAAGAGGTTGGGAAACGCTGTTTTAAAGTTTAATTTGTTATTGCCTGGCACAAAACGTTTCGGTAAGATTGTAATTTGTTATTCTACATCACTGGTTCTGTTAATATTTGCCTCAGTAGTGATGTCTGGATGTGTTGGTTCGATATTAATTTGTGATCAACATTATTATTGTCTGAATAATAATTACTTTGATTAACAATTTAAGCTTGCAAGAGCTCCAATACATTATTGTTTTACATGATCTGTATTCGAATATTTTTATTTAAAATCAGAAAATCGCTTCGCTATCTTCGCATCGCTATACACTACACTTCATTAACTTCACACTACACCTTGTGAAAACCTCATCCAAATATCGCGAACTGTTTGTCTAGATTTTATTGCAATATATCAAATTATTTTGTACAACATTATTGATATTTGTGGCATTGGAAGACACACTGAGAGTTGCGCGTTTTCGAATAGTTTTCCACGAATCAAAGATCAGCCAGATATTTCAGTCACCCCCTTATGCGACACCTGGATTTGCCTGGATACATAAAAAAAAGTTACCCTATGATCACAGTGTAAACAAAATGGTCAAGAGCCTCTATGACCCACAAAAGTCCTACACAATTAAATGTTTAAGTTGTTCAATGTACTGTATTACTATAAAAATCAGCAAGATTCCATTCTATTTAACATTGTGTTGTGAAAATGAAATCTCTTTCTCTCGTGCTACGAGGCCGCGCTTTTCCCGCTGTTGACCAACTAAAAAATATCAACGTTGGCTCGCTGGTGCAATTTTCCCTCCATGCTCGTCAATTTCTGTTTTGACTTAGTCTTCCGCCCCCTCTTATTTCGGCTCCGACCCTATTGTTTTCTTTTTTTCTCCCTTGTTTTTGGCTCAAATTTTTTTTTTGACTTGGTTTTCCTCTCTCACTTGTTTTGGCTGCGACCCTATTTTTTTTCGTTTGTCTCTTGTTTTTGGCTGCGGCCTTGTACTTTTGTATTCATTTTTATCGTTTCACTTTTTCCTTTCGGCAAGGCGGTTCATGGTGCTACTCGTCAGGAATACGCTCGCCATCGCACCTCTGATTAGTCTGTGTGGGTTTGCAGGTTCGAATCCCATGCAGGGATGGTTATGTGCGAGAGGATTGCTCGACTTCTCGCCGACGTAGGGTGGTTCACGTAACCGACCAGCCACCATCAAGTCCATGCTCCCGAAAACAAATAACTAACTAGTCCCGTACCCGACATGAAATGATACCCGGACGAGAGGCCGTGGTTCACCTCAGTTCTTCAGACTTCTTTCTAGCGGTTTTGCCTGACTGCATCTCTCTATAACTCCGTCTACGCTGCGGGATGATTTTCTGCGTTCCACAGAATGTGTATCCCTGTTCGAAAGGCACATTATGAAGCGGATCTGGCCCAATACGAATGGCGTTCAGCAATTATTTAATTGTACAATACAATTATTCATTATCTCAATGTTATAAAACTAACAATGATACAAGTTGTTTCTTGTCAGACGGCACTTACTTTTCGCAAAATTATTGGCTTGCGTTGGCTAGAATTTGAACACGGGCAGGCGAGGATACCTCTACTTTCTACGTGGAACTGAAACAGCCGAACATGTGGACGGTCTGAAAGAATGTACGACAACGCGAGTTGATCAATATTTCGATACGACGAAAAGCCATAAAATGTAATGGAACACTTTAGTAATGAAATCTGTGAGCCAACCCGATGTAAAATCTCTGTCAGCTGTAATGAGCATCAGAAGTATCACAAGAAAAGTAATCAAATCTGTTTGTTCGGACTGATATTTTCCCAAAAAGTACATTGAAAATGGGTGTAGCATTGATTCCAAAGTGAATAAATTCAATTTTGGTTATATTGTGCTTGGGGCAATTTTTATCATTTCTTCAAGGCTCTTCACATATAAATATATACTTTTAAGAATATCAGCTTAAAGAATATAAACTGCCTGTCTGAGGAAGTATGATTTTGGTCAGACGAAACGTTACAGAAATATATTTGAGTTAGTGTGCAGCAGGACTCTTGAATTGCATAAACATGTATGTGCCCATGAAATTGAATTTTTATTCCACAAATTTAAACTACTGCCAACTTTTCTACGATTAAATAATTTATACTATGGCAATGATTTAAAATGCTAACATATACGTTAAAATTTAATTGTAATTTCTAGTATAATTGTCGAAAGTATGAATCAACGTCATCTAAAAAGTGCTACGATTTCCAATTTTAAGTGACTCTACTACTTTTCCAAGTTTGCTTGCTAACACCATGTATTTGCTTTTTAAATCATCCATGTCAAGGTAGTATCCCTGAAAATAGAATATAAAACTGAGACAAGGCATTCAAAAAACAAACATTAGGTTTGAATCTTCGTCACAATTTCAAAAGCATAACTGTACGTTCAACCCTAATTTATTAGCTTGTCTGAGACTGGATTTCATCAAAGGTTGAAAGTGATTAAATCTAAAATGTTTTAAAAAGTCCACCGATGTTGGGTAACCAAATTTTCCGAGATGTTATAAATTTTTATGCTTGTTGCAATGTTTGAGAAAGTATATGTCTGTTTATACCTGAGGAGTTTACATATATTTATAAAAAAAAGTGTGCATTTGTTGTAGGCGATTGAGTATTCTACATCGATCAAACTAATGAAAAATTATTTAACAAAAACTGATCAGCTAATGACAAAAATGACGACGGTGCTGTTTGATACCCTCTACAAACCATGTACCTAACAAAGCTATTTTTTTTTTTTAAAAAGTTCAGAAAAAGTTGTATTACCTGTAACGATATTCCACTATTTTATTGCTGTTGACGTACTTACATGAAGATTTCTGTCTCCATCTTCTACTGAGGTGAAAGCCTCACGTGCGTGCGCCATTCGACGGTTGTTCATGACCAGCATATCTCCTTTCTGCATTCGAAAGATAAACTAGAAAATAAAAAGTTTCCATTTATCTTGGTCGTTTTTATGATAATAGCTACAAAAAAAAACAACTTTTTCTTTTCTTAACAACAACAGGAATTTATCAAAACGATTCATCTATAATATCTATTTATAATGTGGCATAAGGTATAGCCAACATGAATATATAATTGAATTTTTTTTTAAAAAAGTTTAAAATTATAAAATGTATGCACACACAACTTCGCGTTGGCGTTCAAGAAAAGTCTGTTGTAGTTGAAATGAATATATATAGTTCCCCAGCGCTTGAAATTTCAAGATGAAAAATTGATTTTAAATTCATGTTTGTGAAAATTTTTAATTTTTTTTGTTAATTCTGTATTACCCGAAGGTGCTGAAAAAACGATTACTTATTTAATTTCTTTCTTCAGTTTTAAAAACCCTACGAAGCTTGATATTTTGATTTGAATGTTCAGAAAAGGGATTTCAATGTAAATTGTCAATCATTAAGGTTCTTAATGTTATTTGTATTGTAATTGCTTATTATCGTTCAACCTTGACGTTTTAAAATTGTCTCAATCTCCTCAGACCTCCTAGCTAGATAGTAATCTTGAACTCTCTTGAAAATATATTTGGTGTATCCCCCGTATAGATTTGTGTATTTTACCTGATTCTCCGCATTGTGAACGATTTTCATAAAAGCTTTATGTGCTCGATAATAGGCATCGACATCACATTCTTTTATTTGCAGAGTTGTCTCAAAAGATGGATGCCAATTTACAGCAACTATCTGAATAAAAACTTAAATTTGTACGAAAGGGTACGAAGCACTCAGAAGCAGCCACTTACTGATGCCACAATCAAATCTTACGTTGGGCGAGATAAATCATAGTCTTTTGATATATATTTTACACAACTATCAAGCCAAGTTCTTGTAAAAGGAAGGCATATGCCTATTTTGTAAATCAGCAATTATACTAAGCAAGTTGTATATAAATGTGCAGTGGTCGTGTATTAGAGATATTACGTTACTATGCTTATCAAATAATGTTGGAATAATTCCCCACTATGTGTATGAGCATCACAGAGGCAGATGTATCCTTGGAAAATGAGTACATAATGTTACCTCGTCAAAGTAATCTAGTTCAATATGTTTTTTTGTATTCTTGAACCAAAGTGGTACTTTTCGATTCATATCGATTGTGTCATTTCCACCTGGAACTCGACATAAGGTTTCAAAATGTCCTGGCTCGGTTTTTCTAAGAATTTCGACACATCCGAATAAATCAACTATTTTGCTTTCACCTCCAATAACTTCTTTGTCAAATCTATAAAATTACATTAGTTTTTTAACATGTATACAATAAGACGACGTGGTTAATGATGTATGTACTATATGTAGCCTACCTGAGTGCATGAAGAACTTGGACGCCAGGAGCAGATTCATACCACATCAAATCTTGGTGGCAGGGAAGTGCAACAGATGTATAAGCTATATTACAGGGCTTCACCACGCTACGAACGTCAAAGGTCTAATGTAAATATAAAAATATATACGGTATTAGAATATTTCTTATTGTAACATTGAGCCTCGAAATGCTAATTCAAACCGATAATAAATTCCACAAACATACAGACTCGGTTCATCGTACAAATAATATATAACCCCCTAGAAGACTCTCAAAATTCGGTACGTTCAAGTTTTCTAATCCCAATTTTTTTTTCTATCTCCATATATTACTTGAATTTTACCTCGTTTGAACAGGTTTTTAGCACAGCCGCCATGTTTTGGGCTAATATTTGAATTCTCTCCTACATGAATGGGTTGACCAGTCTACTTTTGTGACTAGATTTTTAAATTTGAATTTTCATGGTAAAAAAAGTTATTGTTATTTCCTAAAATGCTGTGCCAATTTATATTGATCGCTGTTTTGTTATCTAATTGGAATCCATCACGTGAGTCTAATTCAAGTAGAGCATGTATATAAAAAAAATGATCATACCTCCCCATAGGGTGTCGACCTTATATGACTAAAAGTCTTGCCGAATTCCTGAAAAGGTAATTTCAGATGATAAATTTTGCGAGGTGAAGCACATTAATATATATATATATTAAGTGATTTTTAGTAGTAAATCCTGTAATGGAAGGTAATGCTAAGGGCAAACGTGGCAAATATTCAGAATTTCACAAAGATATATCGAGATATAGATGCTTACTTTAAAATATTCAATCGTTTTGAAAAACTCACCAAACCATTTTCTTTACTTATTGGAAAATTTCGAACTACACAATATCCATACTTCATGAATTTTTCCAGAAAGCTGAGCAATAATCAGAGAATTTAGTGACATATTCTAGAAGCGTTGGAGAAACCTTCTCCTTTACAGATTAATGATAATAGTAAAAAAAATTATCGTGAGGACTAATTCATGGACATGCCTTCATATGCATGCCTCCAGCACAGGGCTTCCAACAGTTTTACTATAGTTTAGCCGATATTACCGTGGTCATATTAGCTAGTGTTTATATATATATATATATATAGTACCATTGAACTCTTGTTTTTTATAGCAACAGAAAAGTTTTTTGGAGCAGACATGATAATGTTGAATTTGGTATACCTGAATAATCCTTCTTCTGTTAACGTACTATCATAGTCAGCGTATGGAACTGAGTCTGTAGAAGGGAGAGGCATGACGACCCTACGTTTTGATAAATCATTTTTGATACAAGCATCACAATTGCAATTCGATAATAAATATCCAAGAGATATTTTAGTCACGTGATTGAGGTACACATCCTTCGTAATTTTGCAATGCAGTTCTTCATCTGCGATAAAAATATAGACTGAATATTTTACAAATCTCGGCCTGGGGAAAGTGATTTACTGACCTCGTATAAATCTTGTTTTTACATTTTTCTCATTATTGACTCTACTTAATCAATAGGTTTACGGAATTTTCTATTCAGTAATTTATGTGTGGTTAGTGGTTTACTCGAAGACACAAACGATCATTAAATGCAATGCAACGTTACGATTATTTGACTACATTTTAGTTGAGTGATGAACTTGAGAAAAAAAATTTGGCGTTATGAAATTCGAGAATATTTTACATTTATCAGTGTCTGATATATATATTGTTTTGTATGCAGATTCGGTTTAATAATACTATGATCCGAAAGCGAATATCTTACAGCGGAAATCAATATTCATCAAGTTTATCAGGTATTGAGCTGCCCAATCGGAATTTGATTTGTTGTAAACGCGCTTTCCCCACCATGGCTATTTCAAATCAAACAATCAAATCGTTTTTATTAAACACCCATGCCAACGGGCACAATAAAATGAAAGCAAAATTGAAAATATATACATATTCATGCCTTTGCCCAGAATGGACAGTATAACCGCAAAATGACCATTCGGTCTATTTGTGAGCGGCTACCTTGCAATAGCTGTATTACATAAAATTTATGAATCAAAGTTACCACAACACAAGTAAACGCTTTCATGCGAAAACAGCATAGCCTCGAGGTAGCGCTACAAGGCAATAAGTTGCCATGCTTTTTTCAGAATTATGGATACCTCTCTATATTATTTTGATGCAATGCTGTTCTAGCTAGATGTTTTCGAACAAGAATTCAGAAAGAAAGTTGAACATTGTTTAATGTACTTATAATAGATTTAACTGTGGATCAATAGAGAAGTACTCATACTGATATATGACTGAAATATCCCGTGAAATACTTTCTTTATCAATTAATTTCTTCGTCTCAGTGTTTTGTAATTTTCAGTATCATTGAGGTCCTAATTATTCTCCAATAATTAGTGGAATGATTCAGTCCGACAATGAAGAATGTAGGTTGAATTAAAAAATGATATTAACCTGATACTATTGCACTTTCTATTATATTATTGTCTTCAAAATCTGCCCGGTCTAACGGATACATTCCTGAGAATTCCGGTTTGCATTTGTCACACATACAATTAAATCGAAGCCATTTGCTGCTGCATCTGGATAGATAGTAAAAAGCGTTGATAAGTATGCAGTTTTCTAAATGTTTTAAGATAGTGTTTTACGTTTTATGTTGCTATGAATCACTTTGTGAATATACTTTTATTTTTCTAAAGCAATAGAGGCCTCCTGTTAAAACGAGGGCTTCTTTTCAAAATATTTTTTTTTGTTTCTTCTGTATTTTTTTTTATTGAAATACCCATTTTATTACGGTGAAACTATACGGCAAATTGACTTCTTAACAATTTCACACACTGTGGGAAGAATAATCTCAAATAGGTAAGAAAAAAAATTATGCCTCGATTTCCACTCTCATCGCGTCCTTTTATCGCCAGGTTAGCACCTACATCAAAGTCATAAAAATGTTTGAGAACAATGTTTATTCGAAGTATTAGAGAAACGGTACCTACGTATAGGTTTGAATCCAACGTGCGAGAGAATGGATGGACTGATTCTTCGCCGTTGTAGTCGTTTAAAACCATTGTTTTAAAACAAATATTTTTGAACAAATCTCTATGCATGTTCCATAAACTCCAGTTTAAAATAGCAATAATAAGTAAATTTTCAAAAAGAATAAATATATATAGATGGCATAGCGGTGGTGTTTACATGGATGGAAAAACCGCAAAGCAGTAAATTAGATAGTGATGGGAGACCGCCGACCCATCTATCTTCCGCAAAAAAAAAATTAATCAACCAAATAATTAATAACTCGCTATTATGCGACATAATTCATTCAAAATTAATAGGCTTCTGGTCCGAGATATGATGATTGTACATGCTATTAGGAGCAGATGCAACCTCGCTTTCGTGAGATATCGCGTAACATGCGAAAGTGTTTAACAGACAGACAAACAAACAGACAAAAATTTATCAACATACTTACCGATCGATAAGTAAATATTGTAGCCCAATATAGGGTATAGGGTAATACTTGGTATGTTGAATATTTTAGTTAATGATTTGCTGCTGTGGTGCACCATACTTGGAACAACCAATTAGTGCAATTTTGTGACGAGTGAATGTAGGTATCTGTCGAAATTTGGCCTCTAACATATATATATTCATCATTTCAACATAGGTGACATCACATTTATTTTGTACTTACCTTCGTTTGTGTACATTTCCCCAATGAATAGTCAAACTAAGGCCATCCTCAGCAACGTCAATACCTTTTATGAGTATTTCTGGCATTGCAAAAACATCAAATCTTATCAAGCAATGCTCAAACTCTGTAAACTTGATAAAAAATTCGAAGAAATATCAATTACGGAAAAAAAACATATATAAACGTATCAAAGGTTTTTGACTTTCACCCAAGTATCTAACATGTAACTTTTTAAAGTGGTTTTATAGGCAATGAATACTGCTATAAACTATACGCAGTAGTTCAAAGTTCGTATAATAACTTGTACAGATCTGGATTCAAAATCCTATCAGCCAGTGACCGTATCTTTAAATGTCTCGGCCATGATTGAATTGTTTCATTAATATCGGTGTTGTGATTGTGAACTAAATATAACTGAGACTAATAATGCCACCCAAAGCTTCATGCTGGTCTGAAAGTGTTTTGTTACTGAATGTGTTTCCAAATGATTCATTATAGAATAATCATACTCCAGTATCTTCTATGAAAATCTTTAACCATAATTGTGTCTCTAACTCGCAAGCACTATCCTACTGAACCTTTCAACCACCATTACAGATTAATTCTCGCTAAATTGCTTCCACTTATGCACTGTGGTGCTCCATTGATTGTTCTAAACTTTCTTTACCAGACAAAAATATTTAGAATATAATTCACCTTGGCTACAACTTATAATATTGCATACTTGTGTGTGGCCTATCCTAAAGGTATTGAAACAAACAATGACTTTCAGACTGAAGCCATCCCATTTACCTATTTCTTTAGCGTATGTCGTATTCAAACATGATAGCTTGCACATCAGCAAACACATTCACGATTGGTATATAATAATATATAGTGGTAAATCAGTGAAATCGCAATGAAACTCCGTCACTTATGAACGAATAATCAATGAACTTCGTCTTTAAATGATGAATACAGATGAATACGCGATAGCTTTAAACAAATATTTGAAAAGCTTTTGCGATTAATGATAGCTTGCGAACATCGAACTTTGTACCGCGTTTAGTCCAATAGGTTTCACGAAACAGCATGTGACATGATGAATATTATATGAAGGTGGACGTTTCACGGTATAGTCCGTTTATTTTAGGTTTTCTTGTTCTGTGAAGGTGTTTTGTCAAACGGTAGCCTATCTATGAATATTCTTTCTTATTTGACAATCCGCGTGGCATCTTACTTGCAGCATACTTTCATCTTACTTGCAGCATACTTACCTATGAAATATAATGAAAGAGTTTTACAACCCCACTTTTCTCAGAATTACTGTAAAATCAGCGATTGGGCTGGATTCCAGATATGTCATCATGATCCGTAAAAAATATCTTAACATGCAATTGTACTGCCGGCATGTGTTTTGCCTTTGGTGGTATACGAGCCAAGTAACCGGCTTATTATGGTAACTTTTATATCCTTAACAAATATCGAAGTCATTTAAATTGTGCTTGTTTTTAAATTGGTTCTTGTTTTACTACTTTGTATTTGATTTTCAAGTCACCCATGGCAACGCAGTGCCACTGTAACGCCAAAAAATCCAAACATCTCAATTTTTAGGCCCAGCTATAGGCTACTTAACATGCTCTCCGTAGACGGCAACCAATCGGTCGTATCGCTTGGAGTTTCGTCTATTGATACTCATTGTGTGTATTGATAATCACGCAAAGTTTGCACAACGTGAGCATGGTAATAAGTATACAGCCACGAGTAACAATTCGGGCCAACTCCTTTAACTTAACTGAATAGTGCTTCAACATACAAAATACCCAAGGTTAGGTTTACTAGGATAGGAGGACAGGATTTACATATTTATTCCCGGGGAGAGGAAATCCGATAAAACGACTTAATCATATGCTGAACCATGGCCTCTGTCCAGTTACCAGTCCATGTCGGGTATATGGGATTAGTTAGCCAGTTATTTGATGTCAGATGCACGGACTTGATGGTAGAGGAAGCCGTAACCGACCAGCAGTTACGTGACCACCCTATAGCAGCGAGGATTACAGCAATCCTCTAGCACAAAATTTACCCCAAATGAATTTGAACGTGCTAACACACGCAAGGCAATCAATCGGAGGTGCGTGTAAAAATAAGAGATTAACTGCCAATTGTATTTAGTTTTGATACGTATTTTTGCGATCTTGCGAACTCGTTATCGCTGTTATAAAAATCTCAAGATCAGATATAATTAAAATCCTATCGAGTACAATTTAATTAAGTACAATGAAACTACATATAAAGTTTACCAAAAATGCATATTCATCGCCTCGAATCGCCTCGCTTTATTAATTTAGTTGTATCCAATTTCTTCTGCGGTTGCACAGACAAAATAAAAATCACGTATTTTTGCCCTTTTGCGAATTCGACAAAACTGAACGGTACTTGCAACACTGACTCCGTCCAATCGCAATGCTGCCACTCATTATTTTTAAGATAAAATCGTTAGAAAATCCGTATATCTGCTATAAAATCTCACGGAGTGAAATTTATTTTGGTACAATAAAAATTGAATGAATAGACTTTAGATTAAATATTTTTTTTATATAGAATCACTTTTTGAAGCCAATATTGGATGGTAATGGATAAAAAGGTATATCCCGCGCACAATTGACCGTGTTCCGATTTTAGTGACGGTTTTGTTCTCAACGCCGACCAAACATGATGTGTGTCATAGGCACACGAAATCTTGCGATTGTCAATGCCTAGAGAAACGTTTTTAATCTGTCGCAGGCTACGTACAACAAAACTTATATTGTTTACAGTTTTATTTCTAGTATTTCATATTGCCGTATTTCAATCAAAAAAATTGCGTCGCGGATTCACTTCTTTATTTATCTTTAGCATCTCGCCGCCGATGTGTGTATAATAACTCTCACTGGAATCACAATTCTGTAGGATCACAAAAATAAAGTAATTATCATCGATCGTTATCCTGGCACAAATTTTTGATTTAGGGAGAATAAACACCAACGTAAAAACGTTTACGTCCTGAATAACACGTCACGCTAGAACTGACCCTGGTAGAAATGGTTCTCTACCAGTATCTTTGTCTTCTATACATACAGTTATGAAATCATGACTTGTTTCCTAACCATGAGATGCCGAGCTGGAGTAAATAAATGCAAATAATTTTGAAGTGCATAATATCTTGAGTAGAGGAGTTGCAAGGTTCACGACAAAGCGCTTTTGTTTTCGAAAATAAACCTTGAGGTAAACCAAGTCACAAGTTCATCAAAGTAAGTTGTTATTGAACAATCAATGCTCGTATGTGTACTTTCTAAGGCAGGCTGTAAACAAATTAACTGAATGGTGTCTATTAGCTTTCAATTACTTTTATTCATTACATTTTCGAGGATTTGAGGTATGATATTATCTTCTTTCTCACTCCTGAGGGACCAATTTATTTCAGAATATATACTGAACACGCTATTTTATTTTTTCCATGGAAACAGTGATCTAATGATATTATATACGCGTATATGTAATTGCATATAATATAATACACCATACTAATGGTGTTAGTGTCCTCACGCATAGATAATTTTTCAGGATTTTAGCGCTGTGATTAATGAAAGTTGTTATATCTAAATTAGGAATATATTGTAATTTTTAAATTAAAAAAAACTTTAAATTAAAATTTTGATTTATGGATTTGAAAAAATGCTTTTATTGAGATGATATATTTCCGTTTTGCCATTAACAGTATTTTTATATGTTCTTATTCAAGTAGGACTATGGGTTGAATAAATGCATCTGTCTACGTCAAAAATGGACTGCTGATTTGACTTGCGGGCCACGCGACATTTATCAGCAAATTTGCGTTTTATTTTAAATGTGTGCATGGGTTTACTTATTCTTAAATTTCGGGAATCCACTTCTAACTATCTCTAAACCCCTGATCTGTGGTTTTCCAACTAAAGTCAATATGGCATATCTTTCATGTGCATTTCTTTATTTTGAATGTTACGCAACGTAATATAAAATTTTAAAAGCTATTGAACCGTGAATGTCGTATCAACTAATATAAAACTATGGAGCAGAACAAACGTTATATCAAAAGAGTGAAATTGAATACAGTATATCTGAATTTTTTCAGTGCGGGGTTTTAACTACCTCCAAACAGTATAAGCGAGAAGTCGGAAAAACTAGATCCCGCACGACAAAAGAAAATGAATTCTATTCCGTCTCCAAATTGTCAGAGGTGTTACAAATTATTGTAGGTAAGAAACCTTTTTCATTTATGGTTGATTGGAAACTACCGTTAGTCACTATGGTAAAGCTGTATGAATCTAACAGTATTGTATCCGATACTTATCGAATTATATTCATATATTTGTTTTATTATTTGTTAGAGGCTTTCGCGAGACGCTTATAAATTCTTCTTGTGTCGCAGTTCGTCCGACCCTGTTATAAGTTAATACTGACCAAAATACAACTGCCAAATGAAAAAATAAGCCCAATCAATATGGCGGACTTTCTGTATCTGTTTACAAGTTTAGCACAATCAGATAAACATGAGACTATTGGCAATGTGTGATGGCCACGGGTCGTTGTCGAATTTTTAACGTCACAATCATAACAACTTTCCACGACGTCGCGCGCGTCGTGCTGATATTCACAATAAACACAGAATATCAAGATTGAAACAAATAACACGATTATCCAGTATCTATTGGGAAAAAAATAACCAGAATTTCCGGATGGAAACGCGAACAGCACACAAAAAAAAACACACGCCGTTACACGGTACCATCGCCGATATTCCCCACCACCTTCATACGAGAACAGATTAGATCAACATACAAACAATTTTCATTTATGTTGTAGAAATATCAAATCGTCCCTGATAGTTCAGCATTTCTATTAGTAACTTATGTTAATTTTAGTATATGCAAACTCATAGTTTCGGACAAAACCACAGTTTCGAAACATTCTTGACACTTATTTTCTCTCTCTTATTACTTACTTTAATCCTTAAGTCGTGGAATAATTAAATTTTTACTTATTGATATGTCACGATTAATGACGAGCAGTTTTATTGTACACTATTCGCTGAGATGCCAATGTGCCAAATTGTATTGATGCCGATCACAAATATGACGTCATTATCTCCATATTTCTAAACAGCTTAGCAACTAAAGGTCCCTTAGGCACGACCAAGTAGATTTGATTTTAATATCCTCATTAATTACAATAATGCAGGAGAAACAAACTTTTTGGAATGTTGAACTCTCTATCGCGATGACTTCTTTTCAGCTTTTTCGTTGCAAATACTTGTTTTTTATGGTGTTGTTGTTTTGGAAAGTTGTGACAATATCTAGTTTCGTAGTTCCTAAATTCCTGTGCCTGAGAAAAATCATATCTGCATGACAAACATCACGCCTAATATTGTCACTGTAATTTCATATCGAATCCATGATTGACAAACAATGAATATTGTCAAATAAATTATATATTTTCATCTCTGCGATCGATACCCAGGCCGTACCAGCTAAACTGGTTATTTAGAAATGGTCTTTATGTGATATCAATGGTTCTACGTTGATATTATTTTACAAACTATATTTTTCTTCAAGCTATATTAACTGATAATTTTTATTCGAATTGTTAGATTGATATCTGTTGTTTTAACTACAGGTGTTCGCGTTTGAACCGAGAGCTTCACAAATACATTTTTATTTTAGTATTTATTAACTTTACAAAATGCTGTGCATTGCACGATTAAGGTTATTACTACACTTCATCGATAAACACTGAAATAAAATTTTAAAAAAATACCATTAGAGTGAGATAAAAAGAAAAATAAGAAAATAAACAATATTCAGGAAAAGAAAAAATATGATTGATTTTTTTTGCACCAATGATCGCACTAGTTGGAACAAGCTGTGGATAATGTTGAAAATAGGAGATTGGAATGTGTAGAATGTAAGGAACAGATGAAATGCAAAATTTTATTTTGTCAAGCAAACCATTTTTTTAGAAATAAAGAAATCACATAATAATTGTAGAAAAGAAACAAACAATGCCTTAATTAAAATAAAACATGGCAATAAGAATATCGAAAATTAAAGTATAGGAATGAAATTCGAAGACCTTCTGGACAGTATTTTTATATAAAAATATACAAATCTTTAAACGCATTACCAAACAAAAAATAACGTAAAGTACCATGATTCAATACATAATGATTGCTTAATAATTGCACCTGTTGAAATACATCTTACGAAGAAGTCGTCACCTTGAGACATCAAACACTGCTTGGACGACCTGAGTCATCGCTTTCGGGTTCGCTAACATCCATTTGGTGGCATTCGCGAGTAATTATATTATCTTCACTTGAGCATTGGCCCCTTTGAACAGCAGGAGGTTTTCCTTCATCTTCAAATACTTTGTTGTATTGATGATGAGGCGATTTTACGGCGTCGGTTTTCGAAAAACCCGAACTTTCGATACCCGCAGCACGCAAATACTTCCGTTTTCGTTTGTGGTAATCCACATAAGTATCATTAATGAGGGTGTGTTTCTGCGTATTAAGTGGTGTTTCGTTCGTTGATGATGCGTGTTGTGCGCCCGGGTCTTCAGATTTACAAATTGTGTCTGATTCTGGAACTGGAATGGAAGAAAATTTCGTAGATTGGACGTCGAAATGCAATTTATTTTCCACATCTAAACCGTGTTGCTGGAGTTTATCATTTGGTTTACATACGAGGTTCAAAGGCTTGGATGCTTGATTAATGTCATCTTCTCCCGTCATATGCAGCCCGTAGCTGCCTATATCAATCACTCCCCCTAATAAATCTTTGGAATTGCAGAAATTTAGTGTGGATGGATTTCTTTGAAATAGCGTTTGTGCATATCGCTTGTCGATTAACGGCGGAGGACACAAATTTTGAGTTGAACAAGCCATAAAATTGGTCTCTGCCTTTGATACGTATTTTTGACTCTGAAGTTGACGTATCGCGTAGTCGTACTGGGTATTCGATGGCATAACCTCGTTGTAAAAACCTGACAAATTGCTCAGGTGTCCCAAGGCACCGACCGATTCTATCATAGGATATCCAAAGTATCCATGATGAAAAATTGGTAAAGCTAACGTGGGAGCATACGCGGTTGTCAAATTCTGATTTAGTCCATTGATTTGGGGAAACGACCTTGCGGATTCGACGCCCAGGCAGTTTGCTTGCTTATTTTTGGGTAATTGTTCTTCGATGTAATCCGAACTTCGGAATGGCATTTGAAACATTTTTGCCGAATTAGGGTAGCTCAATTTTGGTAATAGTTTCTTTCCAACAACAGAAGTTGTTTCCATAAAGTTTGTACTAACAGGAATGAAACTATCTGCGACATTTCTCGTTGGGTCAAAATCATGTTTTGGTAGAAACATGGTATCGGCAGTGTTAGATGGCATAAATGGTGATGGTATCCATCCAGTCATTTCTGAATTCAGGCGTGCATATTTTTGTGAATAAAAATCGCTGCCAGAACATCTTTTATTGCCGTTTCGAGTCTCTGTTTTACCCATCGCAACTTGTTTTTCACTGATGAAGGTTTCGTCAACAATATTTGGAATGACGTTTCTGTGTTCAAGTAATTCACCGCTTGATGCGTTGGTCCAAGGATATTGTCGCTTTCTTTTATGTTGTGCAACTAACAATCTGCGGACGTTATGCTGGATTGTAGAGTCGTCATGTAACGTGGCACTGTTACATTCTGAAACAAAAATTATGGGTTTGAATTACCATCAGCAGAGTCTATAATTTAATGCAAATATTGATTTACGTTGAATAAAACGCATGTTTCTTTATACTTTTATGTATAATTGTTATAACAATTTAGTTAGAACCTTGTCGCTAAATATACCGTATTGCTTGACGGATTCCTATTCGGATGAGAGTGTGCATCCTCAACTAAACTAAACTTGGAATAACTCACCAAGTCAGTTACAAAAATCGTAAACAGAATGAAGGTTGAACTTGCGGTTTCCGTTAGAAGAAAAATATTCAGATATGCGTAAACAAATCTTGAACCATGTAAAGATTATAGGAAAGCAAAATTTGAATTGTCCATTTTGGGTTACGTCATGATCATGGCCCATGACTCAGACCTGTTGTTGTGGAGGCGGGAATTCCATATATTGAAGGTTCGGTAAAGAATAAATTGGTGAAATTTAAAAGAAAAAGAAGTTCTGTGACACCATTCCACGTGTTATCATGCGATCTTGTTATGTGTTATTTAAAAAAAAGACTTCTATTCTTGACGTCTCATAGAACGTTCACGATAAAATAATGGTTTTGAGGTCGTTTGAATTTAGCATTGTTATATCGAAAATTGTCTCATTATTCGATATTATTGCACGCCATTATTTCAATAGGAAAAATAATCTGGTTTGCACCAATATCATTTTCACGCCGAACAACTTGACATTGAAATAATTTTCGCTCCTAAGGTTACTTCAGATACTCTTATCTTAAAAATTACGCAATAAGATCATATGACAGAAACGTATAGGTTAGTATGTTCGTATTTCATTGACGCTTCGATTTACGCATTTATCACTGTTAGGATATATAATCTCATAATTTTAATGTTTGATTGTTCTAAAATTGTCGGATTCACTTTGATTTTCACAGACAATTATCTATTCCAACACTTACAATCGGAAACGTATTGATTTCAAGTGGATCGAGTTTTTACCCAACTCGATGACGCCGTTGAATTTGAAACGCAATAAGTAAATTGTCTATTATACCAATCTGCGCTTTCTTTGAAGATTAGTTCGAAAATAATGGCTCAATTTATTTGGTAATTTTGGCGATGCTTGAACTTAGAAAATCTAGGTCATTATATGGCATGAAATTAACCGCAATGGAATCTACTATTCCGCAAGTCATGACTTTCGTGACTAAATTTTATTCGCCATAAAATGGAAAAACCTCAAGCAATGTCGTAAAGTATATTTACTTGCATCGTCGAGTATAAGTTAACTGCGTTAGAACGTGCAAGAAGATTAATGTTACTGCCTCTTAAAATTTTTCATTTGACAGAAAGATTTATTACCGTTAGGAATGGAAGTACCTATTCATAATTTATGCACAACATAACGTCAAGCGCGATTCAACGTAATTTCGAAGCACATACTCAATACTTAGTCAAAAGGGTTTTGAAATTACCAAAAAATTAACTAGTTCAAGTTTTTTATACATTTTACAACAAAAACTGAAATTTGACATAAGTTTTTGAAACTGAATACATCAGACTCACTTGGTCTGTTGGTCTCCTCTGTTTCTTGGCAGATCGAATCTTCTTTTGTATTAGTGTTTATTTTAAGCCTGTAAAGTATAATAAGTATATAGTTCTCTGAAATTTATATATTAATCTGATATCATTAGTTCCAAAAAGCATATTACGCTACGACGTTCTCCATCTGAATATTGATAAAAACACGTAATTATGAGTCAAAAGCACGGAAGTAGACACTCACGGTTGCAAAGTGGTTGTCCTTATTCCTTCAGTAGTCCACGTGACATCTGTTGATGTGGGTGGTACATTTTGAACATGTATGCCACCATGCCGTTTTGAGTTGTCCTCTTTCAAATCTTTAGTTTTGGCAAAATTGTGAATTTTTTCAGATACAAGTGGCGAACGCCAATCAGGTTGCTCGAGTAGTACTTCTGAGCAGAATTCAATAATAGTTGGTATCTGAAAAAAAAGATTGTGTAAAGTTTATATCCTAATTTTTTTCGACCCCAAACTTAGACTTTATGCGCTTTAGACTAAAACAAAATAATGTGCTTCTTAAATTTCAAATACGGTTATAATTTATTTGTAGTTATGATTTTTTATTCGTATGGACTGATTTTTACTTTATCGTGACATATTTGTAATCTAATCAAATAACTAATTGAATTTTACCTGAAGCAGGCATCCAACAAACAAAATTTCGTTTACGTTTTCGGCTTTCAATGAAAGTTTTGAGCCGTACATGTACTCCAGAATGGGACTGAGTTCTTCCGAGTTGATACCGGGCAAATGTATTGTAGTATGGTTTTGTCCTTTTACTTTACTTGGTTTATGTTGGTCATATTTAATTAATTTATCACTTTCATCCGTTGATTTGGTATCATTTCCACACAAGAGCTTGTTTTTTGCCTCATCTTCAAAATATTGACGGAAAAACTCACTATATAATTTCAAGACAGTTTTGTGACCAAAATGCTTAATTCCCTTTGTCAGCAGAATTACTTCACAGTTTTCAGAGCCATTTTCTCTTCTTTGCTGGTTCATCAATCGAAATATATATTTCTCCGTACCTTGTGGTTTCATTGTGTATTGCTTCTGTGATGTGGATCCAGTCATTGCTCTAGACTTTCTCTTTAAAAGATTGGAATCCAAAATTTTGATGTCTTTCCAAATTTTCTTCATAACATTTTTAAATATATAACCTCTGATCTGTAATATAAATCAATATGCTCAAAATATATCAATTTTCAGAACAACCTCCAACCCTACGCCCTCGTGTTACTAACTCAACGTGTTCAAGTTGGTCTTTATATGTGAACGACACATATATTATTGGCTAGAATATATTGGTTTATACGCCTTCTTTCTGAAGACAGATGCTTTTGATAGTAAAAGGTGAAGTGTAGTATAATAACAAATCCTTGCGCGGTTGTTCGCCTTTTACTATCAGCTTCCGCTCTCTCTCGTTTCAAACACATGTAGAAAATCAGGTTCCAAAAATAAACGATAGCGACGCGAAACCTGCGTGACTTGTCACACTGGATTTGAGAAATTGAATTTTTGCGATTTTTATGATCCCATTATAAACACATTTTTCATTAGAAAACTTGAGAAAAAAAACTTAATATCGTACTTCTATTTAGTTTCTTCCTGTGTATGGTGACTTTTCTTACCTAAAAATAAATTTAGCGGTATGAATAAATCTCATAACATTGAAATAAAAAATGTTACGTGTATTTTTATATAGGAATATATAAATCATACGCTAAGTTCAGTCGAACGCTTCTGAAGGTCATACCAATGTCGTTGTATTATTTAATATTTCCCGGTTGGTACTTTTTGCGCCTTGAGTTTAATGACTTGCCTAGTTAAGTAATTTTTTTCTGAAAATCTAGTCCAGTACGACTGTAACGTAATCAGCCATTGCAGATGGGAAAATATGAACTTGTCATTCGTCATAGCTCATCTTATTTACCACGTCCAGAATGATATGGTTAGGGTACATTTTCACAGACGAAGAGATACGCGAACCCAACTTGATATGATCTCTGTGATATTAATCACATTTTTATATTGATAATAATCATCAACTTTTCGGTATAGGAAGCGTTATTGTGTACATAAATTAGTCTTGTGCACTTATACAGCATTGTTGTTGTTCTGCAATTGTTTTTTATTGAAAATGTCTGTCCATCGAGATATCACGTACAAATGTATGAAAAAATGAAGTATATGCCGATTTTTCACTACAGCAAAACATCCTTAAACTGTTTATCGTAATATCTCCGCCAACTATAAAGTTTCGTAGATCAATTAATCCGAATGGAGTTATTTGCATAAAATGCCTTAAATTTCCATCGATATGATCTGCAGGAAAAACATCACGCTCTTATGAGTAATGTTGGTACCATCCGTATGACTCACGTCACGTCTGATAAATATATATTCTACAGAAAAAAATTGTTCCTTTGAGTAGCTTATTTCGCAAAAAAAAAATATCCTGCGTGGCATTCTTTCCATAATGTCGTTCAGTGCGAGGTACGCCTTGTTCAATGAATGCAAACTTGAATTAATAATTTTTTTTAATCTTATGCTGGTTTTTGGATCGCTGTTCTCGTCAACAAGCGACAATTTGATTTAAGTTTTGATGCTGTTGGAATATTTTTTGATGTTTTTGTTATTATCAGGTACCTGTAATAATTCAAATTATTCTTCAGACTTGATATGTTAGGCACTGATTTTTTGAAGTCGTTGTAATTTAAGACGGCCTCGTTGTGACATCTGAAGAATGTTGGTCATCCGGTTTTTAGCCATATAATTTGTTCAACTGTATATTTGACAACTAGCCAACTGACGAGTAAAACGTCATTTGATACCGAATATTTTATCACGACTATGAGGTTTCTTATCAAATTTTTTTGTAGGAAAGCTGTTGGATAAAAATTCAAGCGTATTCAAAAAAGGTTCCATTGCACACATAATCACCCAAAATTAATCTGTTGCAACGTCAATTGTCGTTTGCGGCGTGATCCGGTTAAATGAAGACCAATTTAATACCTCCTCCATACATTAGTCACACTTCCTTCTCGTGATACAGATATTTGTAAAGTGTTTCGCAATTTAATGATATTTATATGAAAAAATAGCCGGAATATGACATTCAAAACATGTATGATTCAGCCGATGTTATTGCCATTTCTTGCACAATATACCACAGTATATATGACGCGACAAATTATTTATATGGTCCAATACTCATCTTTTTAGAACATGTTGATTGCTTTCCCATATACTGTTTTTTTATATCTGTATCATGTATTCAACGTATTCAACTTGAACTAGTTCATTAGACGAACGATAAGAATGCAACATTAAATGTGCGAGTACTATATCATAACCATTCTCCAAATGATAATACATTATCTTTATGATCAAAGGTTTCTACTCTTCGTTTTAGAGATTTAGCTATAAGAGTCAACCGCATGGACCTTTTCCCGAGCATCGACTTCCTTGTTTACTTCGTGTCATTGGCCAATCAACAAGATACAAAAAGTGACGTAACAATGCTCCCTTTTCGCATCAGCTCAGACATTTTTTTCATTCGGACAGATTTTCAGGCGTGGTCGTAAACATTACCTCGTTTTCGCGTTTTTGAATTCTATTCGTTAGTTTTCAGTTGTGTTTCGGAAATTTAACTATAAATAAGATAATTCAATGATCACTCGGTCTTCCTAGGAGTTTTAATTTTATTGCAGTAATGAAAAATTAGTGTAGAAAAATATGTGATAGACTAGGCTAAAATTCTTTAACGGTATTTTTAAAAAACAGATTGTTGTATGCGATGAATCCTACTGATGGTTTGAAACACATACCCCATTTTACAGGCGCCAATTGGCAAAACTACTCTTAAAATAAGCCCCGAAAATTTTAAAATGGTAAAGTATAGGAAGAATTTTTGGGGGGTCAGAGGTCGGGGGAAAGGCTCATATTCTTATGCCCGTGAACACACGTATTCTCATATTTCAGCATACGTGTTGAAAGTTTATTAGTTCCACCTCATTCTGTTTTATGCAAAACGAAGAATCCGAGTTGAAGTATTGTATTTGTTGCTATTTTTATACTATTCTAGTAGTTTCATAATAGATCACTGAAAGTGTCAGCAAAATAAACCGTTACTCTTCAACGGGTGGAAAGTTTACTATAAATATTTTCTCGACAATAGCGGAAGACAAAGATGCTTAGACAAGAAACACATCAACAAAACAACCTTGTCGATTTCCACCATTTTGATAAGCGTATTATGTAAATATTATTATTAATCGCAAAGCCGTCATAGGTCGATTTTGTTTTCCGCTTGATTTTTCGACTTTGGTCTGCTGGATCAAATAAAATGTTGTTATTGCATAGAAATATCAAGGTTTCATGCGTAGGTCGTCCTTTATTTTGATGCATTTGCGATGCTGCTGACAATGTGTTTGTACATGATTGATATGAAATTTGAAAATACAGCAAAGTATCTTCTCCTCTTCAGTTTATAATGTAGTATTATTATATTGTCACATATAATAAGCGAAAACTTTTACTGATAATTGATGTGTTAACATTTTTCGGTTTCGGTTTTCGGTTTCTTTAAATTCTTATTTATTCCCAATGAGTGTATAGAATTTACCCACTCAACTGTGACATCCAATATTAACGAAGTTGGGAATATATTAAGATTCTCGAGTGATACGTAAACTGAACATAACGCGAATTCATTAACTAAAAACTACTGTTCGGGGGTTATAAAAAAGGAATTTTCTTTAACTAAATCGATGAAAATTTCGAAGTATTCGATCCAGACTGGTGTTTGAATCTTCCTGTTTTGGCCATAATTTTCAAAGCTTTGCAAAAGAATTAAATGTATTGATCAAAATGATGGGGTATTACCAAGCTTAGAATATTACCTGCAGTAAAAACGTTTGAGAAAAACTTCTTTTCGGACACTTCTTTGTGGGTACTTTCATCTCTTCAAGTAATTTTTAAAAAGAGGCGAACGCGGTAAGTAGGCCACTTTATTTTAAATTCATTAATCAAGTTAGGTAAACCTATTTCAGTAGAAAATTCAAGCAATTGCATCATATCTGAACAAAAACGATCTTGGAATATTTGTCAATTTTTAAGAAAGACAGAGAAAAATATTACTTAAAACTTTAATATATTCTTCATTCTACTTATCGGGGTATGATTACATGATAACCTAATTTTTCATTAGTCAAAATTTGAAAAAAATCCTTGACATGTCATTAATTAATATAAAATATTTTATTCTTTATTTTAATTATCCAATTAAAACCACAGGATTCCCTCATAATTGCTATATTTTGGATAGATGGATTTTTATTTTAATATGCATGCTAAGAAAATATTACTTTTATATTCTTACAAACATTTGACATAATCCCATACGACACAAAGTAGTTTTTAGCTCAATTCTAATTTGTTAATACATTGCGGAAATATTATTGAATTCATATATCATTTTATATAACATTCATGGCATCTATAAACCCGCCATTCAAACTGTTATACATCTATGTTTTTTTATATTAACAAAAGTTTCAACTATATATAAACACGATTTTCCATGACATGCGCATGCAATATCGCAGATAGTTAACTTATATAACAATTATTTGTCAGTCATAAGACATCTTACGTAAGTACTCTTTGTTACACTGAATGAATTTGACCTTATTGGTTGTGCAACGCTATTAACTGAAGCGAAGTCATGTAGGTACAATTATGTGAGTCATTATAATTTATATACAAATAGCGATGCAGTTACGACACATTCATGAACATAAAGGAAATGATTTTGATAGAACTTCATAAACTAAAGCTGGAGTCATGATGAGGGTATTTTTTATACTTTTTTAAACCTTAGGCTTGGCATGGTTTGTTTTGTAGCAGTTGTTGGGATTTTTAGGTTGCTACTAAATGTAGATTCATATAATGAGAAATTTAGACGGAGCACGTGTTGAATTTCAACAATTTGGAATTTTTGGCTCTGTTATTTATTGCAGTCGCATGAGATCCGCCAGATAATTTTCTACATAATTTTAAAATATTCTGGTGTACTTTTTTAAATGAATAGTCGGTGGTGCATTGGTAAAAGCGCCTGGAATCGTAATAAAATATATTTCACTAATCAAATACAAACTTAAATT